CTATCAAACATATAAATAACACTGAGTGATGACCAACCATCTGAACGAGGATCACCCTGAACGGTAGTTGTATTTATGGATGCCTATCGACAACAACACTTCACACTTTTTCCAAATTTCGTCGTCTATAAAAAGCGTTCCGTAATAACAAAACGAACACCGTCCTTTCAACGTATATTGACTAAGGAGCTAACCCATCCCAGCTAGGAACTTTAGCAGACTGTTAACTCAAATACACCATGAAAACGCAAATCATCCACCGCCCAATATTAATCTCCACAGGAGAAAGGATTCAACAAAACAAAACCATGTCGGAGAGGCTATTTATCGTCGCATTGCAACAGATGACGAAGACGTTGACTAGCTACGAAAAACGCGTACCAATTTATGATAAATTCCTACCAACCCTCTCATATCAGCGACTATTGTCATGACTACTTGAAAACACTGAAAACATTCCACTAAACAGAGACCCTGACATGCATTGTTAAAACAATGGCATTTTTAAAAGTAGAACTAATATCTCTGAACTTATTCTAAAACTTGATGCTTAACATTAAAACTGTTAGAATCGACAGAATAGTGTTCCCAGACTCATCTTGCTTTTGCTTCCAACACCCTTCGTAGTGAAGATTAATTGTTGACGCGATATGTGAGTTGTGTGTTCGTTCCTCTGCCACGCGGGTCATTGTGATTTGCACTTACGCCAGACTAGGAAGTTGGATAAGTAAGAGATTATAAACGGTACCAATAAAATAATAATGGCAGTGAGATTTACAAATGCCTAAATGAACAACAAAAACAATAACGTAACCAGGAGCAGAAAGAGAAACATCATACAGCGTTTGCTAAGGGAAACGAAATCGGTTTGAATCGTCGCAGGATGTTGGACGCGATGAGCTTACAGATCAGTAGTGAACCCTATATATCGTCTGAAATGTGAGGAGTTATTGAGCTAGAGACAACTGGAATCACTGTTCAGGGAGAGGTTCTAGGGCGGGCGGACATTGTGGCGTCTTCGAAAATGTGTGTTGCGAAATCCTTGTCATCTATGGTTTCGCGCAGTGTACGTGGTATGGACAGGATAATTTCGTAACACACGAGATGGGAGTAAAGCGCATAGAGCACAATACACGTTAAACATAAGAAACGTGGAACAAGAAAGATAATGTTCACACCGTGTCTTCCCTATCCTTTTCCAACCTCTTATCAAAAGATCTTTTTTACTCCATCCTTCATGTCCAATAAATAGCTTCCCATCCACTTATGCTTAGTTCGAGAAAGGTGTTTCCTAGTCAGAAATTACATAAAACCGCTGTCTAGAGTCGTTCGTCTCTGTGAATCTTGAAGTATTCTGCTAGCACTTCACGTAGCAATTCCCTAGACCGACTTTCTTTTAACCTCGGCATTGATTGCTAATTCAATGTTTTTCTTCAATAAGCAGATACGAGGTTGTTATTATAGAATTTATTAGGATACGATAGCCGACGTTTCGGTGGTTTCGCCTTCTTCAGAGCCTGGAAAGGTCAAATCGAGGTGCGATCTACCCAGCCAAACACTTTCATAACCCCAGCAGATAAAACTTAACAAATAAATTTGTATTCACATAAGAAACAGCTTCATTTAAACACCTACCGTTTATTTGTTGTAAGTATTTAAGTTAGTTGGTGGATAGCAGCCGCACAGAGTAATACATGGGCGAAGACTGTGTCTCTGTCAGGTCATTGGATTAGCCTGAGGTACCAGGTCACGCGTGATGACAAGACACTCCTCCGTGCGGTTCATTTTGAATTTTTGGAATTGATCCAAAACGCTTCAAGAGTTTTACGCGCTGATGCTTTCGATTCGTGCGTGAGGTTGGTGACTCCTACTTCAAAATCTTCTCCGCTGTGTTCCTGCATCCTATGCGCGCCTATTGGAGTGTTTGGTTTTAACTACTATAATGCTGAGATATTTGCAAAACTCCGGACCGCAGGTGTTTGCGGTGGGGAACGAACGCGCTATTGTCCTTTCCGGGGAGTAACGCGTTCACCATCACACCATGCGGGTCCTTCGTTTCGCCTGTCTCTCAGCTAGTTCTATCGTTTATTTCTCACAAGCACCTTTTTGGTGTGTGAGGCGTGGGAGGAGTCGTAATGAACCAGCATGGTCTTACTACTTGGTTTTTGCTACCATTTTGTAATGTAGTCGTTTTCGGATAGGTTAATGTAAACGATCAGAAATGGAAGCCAGTTTTCTTTCAGTTTCACTTGGAAGACTTAATGTACTCCAAATGTTCATTCAACAACTCAAAACACTTGCCCATTTCCTATTTTGCTGAGCAAAGTAATCACCTATATACCTACAATAGAGTAATGGACGGAGTTCGGTTACTGGTGCATCCAACTTAGATATAAATAAAAAGGCAAGGTTCGGCGCCAGTGGCTGTCCCGTTACCAACACTCCACTTGAATTGCTACAAGACGTACCAGCAAGATAATTCCTACTTGAAAAAGTACTGTCACTCAGACAAAAGGCTGTCTTAGCTCAGCAGAAAATACACTTTCTCCGCCTGTACCAACAATACCAAGTTGTTCCGAACTTCATCAAACGAAGACGACTACATGACGTATGCTAACTACCAGAGGATAGCCATCGAGTACCACATCGAAATGCGTATACTATGAGCCTGTCCATGAATCAAGCAGGATCAGATGCTCACCAACTGGAAGTGCGCGATGAAGGAGCATCATTGTGTTTAGTATCCAGATGGTCGCCCTTGGAGTAGAATAGTCGGCTCCGGAAAAGATAAAATCCGCCAAAACGTAATTTATCGTAATAAAGAACAAGGTAACACCTGTTATTTGTTGAACAGAAATATAGAGAATTATTATTATTATTATTATTAATTACATGGCCCGTTATCACAACTACTACGCGGATGCGAGCACTTCATCCCTTCCATTCGTTTTCCTCGCTGTCATCGTCCACGATGGTGTTGGAACATTTGACTTTCGAAAACTAGGACTGCAGACCAGATCGAACCACGATGACTCTTTCCGGGGTCATGTGTTTCGCACGGCTCCACTGAGGCCCTCGTACTGCCTTTCTTTCGGCCAGTCTTTCTACCCCTTCTACTCTAACGGTGCTGAGGGGAACAAATCGGCATTAAACTAATTTAAGTCGAGCATGTAATTGATATCGTGTATAAGTTCTATCTAAAGCCCTTTGTTTTTTTTTTGGGAAAAAAATGGGAATTATGAATTTTTTTTCTTTTAGGAAAAGTTTTTGCAAATATCTCACCATCATTGTGGTTGTATTTCACATAATACTCTCCTGTGAAAAAAAGTAGTGGACAGTTGATAAAAGTTATACATTGTCATTTCACTTTTATTTTCTAACGAACGATTGTTTTTCACGACCTGGTATTATGACAAATACAAGTAGGACAACGCTGCGATATGAGCAAAACTCGAAGCCATGGTTAAGCTTCGAACACTCGATTACCCTTTCCGTGGACTCATATTTTATTCACCACATCAACCCAGGCCGTTGCTTTGCCTTTCCTCACCAAAGTTTTTACTCTAAACGGCAGATTGCCAAAAAACACAATGTCAACCGTTCTACACTCCTTCGGTATCTGAAGCAAGCTGGAAAGAAGAAAATCTCAATGACTTGGTGCCTAATGAAGCTATGCTGTCTATTTCGATGTTCTTCATACCCTACATTCCATGCAACGATTATGATTTTCTATCGCAATTAATATTGAAGCAACAGTCAGTAGCCCGCTTATAGTTGAGATCTCGAATGTGGTTGTGAAAGGAATGAACAGGTTCGCTCAGGGGCGGTCATGCGCTTGAACCATATTGCACACCAAAACCATCTTGATTAACCGTAGAAAGGAAAAAAAGAGTAACCACACGTATGATTTAGTAGAGTGTGAAGAGACGCTAACTAAACCATCTAAGCGGCGCACATACACAACTGAGAAGAGAAAAGTGATATTATTATGAACTCACGGAGTTATCGAAACACAACCAAGGAAATTTTTTAAAGCGCAAGATGTCCGTCCCATTAGCCGTTCATAAAGGGAACTAGCAAGTCTTCCCATAGGTTCTTCTTTCATCATAGCTTGGCAACATATATTTTTCGCTTCCCGTTATTTCATTCAAACTTGTTTGATGAACGGGAGATTTATTGTGAAAATTCCCAGAAAGCCACAAGGCTTGGATTTGTTTCAAGTCTGAGTTTTCATTATGGTGATGATAACAATGACAAAAGTGATAGTGATAACGAGGATAATAACAATAATGGTGATGATAGTAATTACAGTAATAACAGTAATAATAATAACAATAAAAGGATAGAAGGCTAAAACTCTCTACGTTAATCAATCCCTAAGGGATGCCTCGTGCATTCGAGTTCATTAAACATCGTTCGGAGGTGATTGAATGCATATTTGCCCTTTAGAATGACTCGCAGTGGCCTACCGATGTATTGTTGAGCCAGTGCTGCTATCCTACTCGTCTAAACGACGTCTAAACGAAAGACCTAAACGTCTGGTCACAACAATAATAATGACAGTAGTAAAGTCAGAAATGTTGATGTGCTTCTAGACATAAAACCTCTTAGTATTTCACTTACACTTTGGGATAAAGAAAGGGTAATACAACGAAATAGTATAGTAAATGTATGTTAACACTCTCTTTACTTCGTTCCAATCTTAACCCACTCGATAATTTTGTTTAACAACACTGAGACATTTGTCATATGTAGTATTTGCGATCTAATACAATAATTACCAATTCGTCCTATTAAAAAAATGTACATTCACGTCCTTTCAAGCAACTATCGGATGAAAAGTATAAATTAAAATGTTAAGCTAAAAAAACGGAGTACCAGCAGGACCACCGAATGAAAATAACGTATGCCGGGTGCTAAATGTTCTAAACATCAACATTTGGTATTTTCCTAATCACAATAAACAACACTGAAAAACTGAAGTATACGCCTCAACTTTCCTAACAAGCAAGCTCTGCTATTGCGTACTCGCCGGTAACCATCCACTTCGTATCAGGTTCATTGCACATCCGTCGAGCCACACTTTCTGGTAGACCGGCGACTGTTTCTGACTTCAACGTGCGCAATGCAAGGATAGGAGCAGGTAGGAAACCGCATAGAGCAGTCTAAACAAACTACTTTGTATGAAACGTAACTTTTGCTATAGATGTGACAACGAGGAAGAATTCACCGCTATTTCAATCTTGTATGAAATTAAACAAATCTGCTTCCAAGCGATCCAGAACAAAGTCCAATTATAAAAACCTGTTAGAAATCAAGATAAAGATTTACAATAACGTCTATATACCATTGTTTCGTTATTAAGTATGTTCAGAGTTTAAATTCTTCTTTTAAAAAATTGAAGAACGGAGTCTGATTTTTCAGAAAATCCAATCAAGGCACTGCAGTTGGAGAACACTATGGTGTCGTATTCTAAATTTTTAAAATTTAATCCTATTCCCACTTGTTAAATTGCTCTCATGTTCGAAATAGGAAATCTAATGTAAAAAAAAATTTGCGTCTTGTCGACTCCAGAAAACCAAAATTTCATCTTGGTGGAATAAGAAAAGTTGCTGTTTGTACGCGAAAATCTTTAAATTTTAACATGTTCTGTCTCAATTAATATACCCGCATGGTGTGGTGGTGAACGCGTTACTCCCCGGAAAGGATAATAGCGCGTTCGTTCCCCACCATAGACACCTGCGGTCCAGAGTTTTGCAAATATCTCAGCAACATTGTGGTTGTATTTCGCTTAGTAACCTGCCATGAAAATTATAGAAGGCAGAAAACAAAACGTTAAAACATCAATTAATATATTTCAATGTAAGTTCTGACGTGATGGTTCGACGATGAGAGCGGTGATTATGTGAGTACTTATGAGACACATATGCGTCAATATTAAACTACTAGGTTTTAGTAAGAACTTACTTTGAAAGTTGTTTCGAACGGCCAGTCTCTGTCAGCTACCAATTTCCGATAGTTCAGATCTCCTTTGAACATGATGAAAGATGCTTCGGATAACTGCTTATAAAGATCTGGTGCCACCGATTTCATTTCGCAGTATGGATGCGGATACGTCCAGAAACGATGATCTTGGAATACCAACTCGCCCTACGAGTAGATCAGTTTATTGGTGCAACATATCAATATTACGATTTCTAACAGGACCAGAGTTGATGTAACTCTACGGAAATGAGAACGTGCCCAGAGCTCAACAAACGGTGAAAGAAAAACTCAAATATAAACTATTCAAGCTGACGTTTTGATATAGTTGGTCATTACTTACTTGGATACTTGGATAGCCCGTCCTCAATGGTTGTGCGGACCCCTGCATAATCTCCATTCTTCGGAGTTTGTTGGTTTAGCCATTGTAATTTCCTGGAGCCCCGAGGTCAGCCTGGCCTAAGACTGGCTCAGGTCGTCACCAACACAAGCATTCGCCGTTTTTGTGGATCAGAGAGAGATTTGCCACTATTCTAGTAGTTTGATACCAGAACGGTGGTCGACCTTTGTATTGGTTTGCTCTTAGCTTGGCTTCCTGATGGGAACCCGGACTCCTTCTCAGCTCGGAAGACGCTGCCGGGAGATGAGTCTCTCTGGTACCTCGCCGCCCCACAACAAGGAACAAATCCCAACCACGATGAGGCGGTAAACTGCTGGAAGGATAGCTGATCGTTACAAGAGCATGTAAACACTACTTTGAATAAAGAGGTTCTCCTAGACCGGTTTGTTTTAAAAAAATGGATTGGGAGCGAAAAGTGGCAACTGTGAAATGTGTCAAACAACAAAAGAAATATGGTGAAAGGCTAAGGCCTACTTTCTCTTAACCTTGGCATTGATCATTAACTCGCTGCTCTCTTGATGAGCACACACGAGGTTGTTACTATACTATTCAATCACCATAGAAAACGTTTTAGAGGATTTCGACTCTTTCAGAGCCTGAAAAGGTCATGTTAACTGTAACTTAGCCAGTCAAAGAGTTCCATAGACGGTGAGTGTCTGAAGAAGGCTTTTTCTTTCCAATGCGCTTGAAGTCTAGGTTTTGCGGTTTTTTGTTGAAGTTAAAGAGGTAAGGTACCTGGATGACTAACTTACCGTCAATTTGATCTTTCCAGACTCTGAGGAAAGCAAGGGAGACGTCAACTAAAATAAGGGATAAAGCATGAAGCTCTCAGCGCTGACCAATCCCTAAGCGATGCGCCATCCATTCGACTTCTTTAAGCATCACTGGAGGTTATTGAATGCATGCCTGGCCTTTACAATGACTCGCGGTTACCTACCCATATACCGAGCCAGTGCTACTATTCTCACAGACAGGTCTGGTACCAGTGGAAGCCTTGGTGAGCCACGGGCCCGAAGATCGATGCCATGTGCATTGCGGGACTCCATAGACCACTCCACACGCGCCCTTTTTATCATAACAGTACGAATAAGAAAAGAAGGGCTCACTTATTGTATGGATTTTGAAACCTGCTGTTACCTACCACCTTTCCACTTAAAAGTAAACCGAGAAACAAGAACTCTACTGCACAAAAAGTCCCACCGAATTGATCCCTCAGAACGTAAATGTAGTTCCAAACAACTATTTAATCCGAAGGTGACTTTGTTAGCAGACCAGTTTAGCACTTCTAGGTGATTTTGTTTTGAACTACTCCATTTAGTGAACGGGAATTGGGTATCACAATATCATACATACACCAACCTGAAATCCATAAATTCATAGCTTGAAATTTTCAAACCACCTTCTTAATCCTTCCAAAGAGTTTCTCATACAGTCTTTGAAATACGTTTCCGAGCCTATTCAGCTCTTCCAAAGACCATTCAAAATCATTACCAGTTACGTCGGAAACAAAGTAGGGATACTCCTAAAACAATCAGTTAAGTGAAGAGGTGCGGTTTACAAGAAACGATGCTTGCCTACTTTTCCATGGAGTACTGTTTTATCCACAAGCTTTGCTCCCATAAGGTATTCCGCGAGGATTAGATCACCCAGTAGTTCCGGTCCAGTGTTATCAAGAACTATGTGAAATTGTCTTGAACCCTTTCCGCTTGGTCTTAACAATAGTAGTGGAGATCATTTGTTGAAGTTCAAAAAATAACAATTACTGTGAAATTTTACATACATGGGCAAAGTTGTAAGGTTATGTATACACAACATCAATATATATCTTCCCAACTATTACATTAATTGACAACAGTACTAACTTGAGATTTAATAGGTAGGAATCCATAGCTACTCCAATATCATCACACAAAATGTATGAATCCAGCATCCGAGCACTTTCAATTGGAGAATGAGCCTAGATTCGACACATGGCTCTTTCTTTTGTAGACGAAAAAATGTTAAAGTCAGAAGGTAAATTGACAAATAAAACTTAGAAAACAACTTACAAGCTTTGTGGGACCGCCACATGACAACGATAGGTCACAGCGATTTCCCCAAAGACACATCTAAAACTTCCAACAGTTTCAAAACTCATTTGTTACTGATCGACTAAAAGCAATACAAGGAAGTTTCCAGAAATTACATATGTATATGCATACCTCTTTGGATACTTGGACGGCCCTTTCTCACTGGATGTGTGGGCCCCAGCATAATCTCCATTTTTCCGACATTTGATGGATAAGCCATTATGGTTCCCTGGAGACTCGAGGTCAAGCTGGCCAAAGTCTGCTCCAGGTCGTCACCACCACGTACATTATCAGCTCTTGTGGATCGAAGGAGGATTTGCCATCATGCGATTAGTTTGATACCAGGACGGTGGTGGACGATAGTATTGGTTTACTCTTAACTGGGCTTCCTGGTGGAAACACAGGACTTCTTATCAGCTCGGAAGACTCTGCCGGGGAATGAGTCTCCCCGCTATACCTCGCAGCCCAACACACAGGAACACCTCTCAGCCACGATGAGGGGGTAAACCGTTGAAAGGCTGTACATGCATGGATATGTATGGCTATAAGCTGGGTATATATATATATATGTATACATAAACATGCACATATACATGTGTATACATATATACATATATATACATATACATATATATCTTCCCAAAGGTGCACCGCCTCTTCATGACTGAGAGGTGTTCCTGGGCTTCGGGCTGCGACGATGGGTGTTCACCCTCCTTAAAAGGCTTCTAAATTGAAGCTCGACGTTTCCAACAGGAATCCCAGCTAAAAGTACATCAGTGCCAAGATCCACCAGCCTCCTGGTATCAAACAAGTCGCAAGTAGCGAATCTCCATCTAATTAACAAGGACCGGGGCCGCCTATGGTGCTGACAATCTGAAGAAGGCTTTGGCTAAGCTGACAGCGAGACTATGGGAACCTACAGTGGCTGCACCATCGAAACTCCGGCCTCACTACACTACAGACCAGTCGCTGCCGCCTATAATTTCATGCGGTGAGACAACCCGTAACAAGTGATCAAATCTCGTGTAGCACAAGATATGGCAACACAGGCTTTTATCCATACACTTCAACGCATACGAAACCCACGCTTAGCCATTCTTTGTCTTCATCTTCCACGGCAAAAGAAGGTCGGTATCATCGACTGCTACTCACCAACTCGCACGGCTGATGAGAATGAATAGGACGCGTTCCACAGTCAGCTGGATGAAGTAATCTGCAGCGAAAACTCTTATATGATCGCTGTTGGAGACCTCAATGCCAGATTACAAAGGGTCAGCGAAAACAGTTACAGTGCAGGGAAATGTGAAACGGTAGATCGAAACAAAATGTAATCCACCTTACCCGATTTCTGTCCACAACATATTTCTTCAAAAAAGATGCATTTTTTGTTAAAAGAGATCGCCTATAGAGACAGGTGTCTTCCAACGGCACGACTCACACAAAAATCGACCATATTCTCACGAAAATAAAGTGGTACTTTTTGACACCTCAGTGCTACCCTCGTTCTGCAATGGATCTGACCATCGCCCTCTCTTTGCAAGATTTGATTAAGACATATAGGCTGGAAGAGAACTCCTGTGATCGCTGTGACGATGGTATTTCTCAATGGGATCCTCTCCTCAAATTACTTGCAGGTAAAGCAAGACCTGACGGAAGAAGTACAAGCTGCCGGCCAGAGGACTTAAAACTTGTGCCGAATTCGCTTCACTTCCTCAAACAAGTTCAGATTGCATTTCCATTACTACTAAAGAGTTGCTCAAGAAGAAAAGGATACTGCAGCTTGATCCTACTGCAACATACCTCGCACGGATGATAATAAATATCAGCTGTAGAACATCTTTGCAGGAATATTTACATCGGTACAGGCAGAGAAAGCTATTACAAGCAACTCAAAGCGATCCAGTTTTAAGATGTGACGTCAGGACCTTTGCGACTATAATGTTCCGCTATCCTCCCTGATAAACGAAGATAGGACTATCACTATATCCCACAATGAAACAGAATTGATAACGAAAAAATGTTACACATATCTTTTCTGCTCCATAATCCCTGACTCGACCCTGAAATCTAGTGAAAAACCGCCCAAGATTCTACCCTTTGACGGTGAAATCCGATAGAAAACATGAACAAAGTCACAGTTCCAGCGCCCGATAATATCACCGCCGATTAACTATGAGGCCACAAATTGCATGTACTTTTCACAGCGCACACCATATTTTACCTTCAAAAGGAGAAAATCCCAGACCAGTGGAGGATCTCGCGCAGTCATTATACTAAAGAAGGGTGAACAAAGGGAATCTCGCAACTCCCGTCCAATATGCTCACTGAGTATACTCTACAAGTTGTTCACAAAAAGTATTCTTCTGCGCATGTCGAGGATCTTAGATGAGACACAACCAGTTAAACATGCAGGATTTCGACAAGGATTCTACTGCATAGACTACATCCAAACTGTGTCGGTGCTCACAAAAGCTTGTCAGGAGTACCACCTACACATTTCCCTAAACTTTATCTACTACGAAAAAGTGATTAAGAACGTCGACACGAGTGCGATCCTATCAGAGGTTGTCGACCAAGGAGTGGATCCGTCATATATAAGAACATATATGCGGAAACTAGCAGACTTATTGGAATTACACAAAAAAAATACAGTTTTTCCTCTACCGACCTCTTACCATCCCCATATGAAAAGGTTCGATAAGGCGACGCAATATCGTCAAAGCTGTTTATATATATGTATATATATGTAAATATATACATATGTATAAGCAGCTTTGAGCTATAAACAACTATATATATGTATATGTATATATGAATATATCCTCTTAACAGTTTACCGCCTCATTATGGCTGGGAGGTGTTCCTGGATGCCAGGTTGCGATGTACAGCTGGAGGATTCGCTCCCTCAGCAGCGCCTCCCAAGATGAGTAGTCCGGAATTCCCACTAAGAAGCCTAACTAAGAGTAAACCAAAACTGGAATCCACCATCGTGCTAGTACCAAACTAATCACAGGGCTGCGAATCCCCCTCTAATCCACAAGGGCGGCGACTGGCTACAGTGGTGACGACCCGAGGCAGACTTTGACCAGAATGACCTCGAGACTCAAGGGAACCACAATGGCTAAACGAGCAAAACTGCGAAAAAGTGGAAATTATGCAGTGGCTCGCACAACCACTAAAGACGGGACATCTAAGTATCCAAGCAAGTAAGGATGTATACTATTTACTATTAGCACACAATATCTTCGGCACTATATAAAACTATTTGGAACTCAATCACAGTTTAGGCTTACCTTCAACATAACTTCTAGAGTTTCTCTTTGCTTTTGAATAGTAACCTCTTCGGATGAGACGAGCATGTAGTTAATGCAGTCGCGAATTTGTCCCACACTGAATAAAAGTAACTAGAATTTTTGAAGTCGAGGACGAAAAATATCAAAGCTTACTGGTCATTGAAACTCTCAACTTTCTGTTTGCGAAAATAATCGAAAAATTTTAAATATTTTGACTTGGCCGTGGTACCAACGATCCTTCTGTACATATAACACTCCGCAAACAGCCAATCTGTCTTGAACCACGTCACTCCATCCTCACCATGCTGTAACGTACTGAAGTCTTCTTCCGAACAAGTAGTCGGTTCTACTTATCTAACGAACTTTTGTTCTCAGATTCGCCAACAGTCTATTCCACATATCATGGCTATACGAAGTATCGCTGATGTCTTCAAGTGGTTTATCGGTGGCTATGCGATAGCGCATCTCCGATAACTCCGCAATGATTGCCTTGATGTCTGCATCAGCTTCCTCAAAGTACCGAACAACATGAAGGAAGGTGGTGTTGAAGCAACAACACATTACAGAAAATAAAGTACCAAAATGAAGTAAAACAAAAATAAAAACGAAATAGAAATAACAATAAATAATAATATATTGCCCATCTCAACGAGCAAAACAGTGAAGTTTTTCACTGCGTCCACATAGAACTTAAGCACACAAACAACAGATGTATGGAGTAACCCAATGGTGTACATTGATTCGCTAGTGTCTTCATAGGCTTAAGAATTCAAAAGCAATTCCTCAAGCGTCCTAACTGCTCACCATTGGAAGAACATAGTGCTAAAAGCTCATAGCGTTGACCAATCTCTAATGAATACGCCGTTCATTCGACTTCATTAAGTCGTTAGAGGAGAATGAATGCATATCTTGCTTTTACAATCACTCACGGTGGCCTACCGATGTATCCAGCCAGTGGTGCTATCCTCCCAAACAAGTCTGGTGCCAAGTTACCGACCCCCGGGAAGGATGAAGGGCTTAATGGGCCTTGGAGGCGCGGATCGATCCCGTATATATTGCAGAGCACCTCGGTCCACTGTGCTACACGAGCCCAAGACAAAAGAAGATGGATAATCAACGTACTGCAAGGTAAGCAACAACAACGGTGGCCGATATGAACCAGGAAAAAACTGCGCTTTTCAATCAGGGCTATCCCATCGCCCGAAAGATAATTTGCATTGCTTTAAGAACAAGAAAAGCTATTGTCACCGCTCCATATTGTTCTATCAACGTCCGTCTCTGGCAGTGGAAGTGGTCGACAATCTTTGCGATCACTCTTGGCAAACGCTGGCTTATTGTGAAGAACACAAAGGTGCTGAAGTGTACTTCAGATAATAGGTAACATTTTAGGCTAGAAGGCAACTTTTACAGTAGGTACTGACATGACTAACGGTTAAAACAAAAGAATGAACATACCCTTCTTTGACTCCGCTCAATTTCGGAGGTAAGTTTCCCACGTCTAAGGAATTTCCCATAGCGGCCATTAGTATAGGAGCGGACTAGAATGAATACTTTCGTAACCTCACCTTCATCATCATGATAAAACAGAACGCAACAGTTTGAAGTTGAAAGGATCATCAATGGAAAACGGTAGACTTCACCACTGAATAGATAATATAATAAGATATCAAGCGAATGGACTTATCATAATCATGGTATAAACAAGGCTGTTCTTCGCTCAACATAATTTATCCGTCAACCACTTAACAGTACCGAGCACAATCCAGTAATAAACAACGCTGAAGACTTCATACAGGTCTGTCCAATAACCATTCTGACTGAAACATGTTATTTTCTACTCGAACACAATAATGCATTCATCTCATCGAAATACTCAAATACTCGAACTATGGTCTCTTTTTGTAGACGTCGGACGCGGTCAGAAGTGAGCAGCCATTGGTTACGTAGGGACTGCTCCAACACGAAACCCTCAACGACGATGAGAATACGACTGCATCGGAAAGACGACGATTATAACTAGTAGTACACATTCGCTTGATTGGAGAGCCTAATGAGACTTCCAGTGTCGATTTGTTTCTGTAGCCACTTACGTGAAATCGAAAAGAGACCATGTTTAGGCAGTCATTCGTATACCCCATTCTCTCCATTCCCATGAAGAAACGATCTGGACATCATTAGCACACCCAGAATTCCATCACCTCAGAAGTCATCGAAGGAATGCCATACTACGGAACTTATTCGAATCACCTTTAGGGACCATACTGTTACACTGGCCGGACACGTAATGCGTATGAACAAGAAGCGATAAATAAGAGCCGTTCATAACTGGATTCCTCGGGATGTCAAACGTACTGCAGGAATACCAGCGACCCGACAGTTATAGTTCTTCACGAAAACCCTAGAAGAAAGATATGATGCTCGATGAGTCCTCAGAGCGAGCAAAACCCACTAGGATACTCTTGCGCGTGACAGGGAAAAATTGAAGATCTACTAGCGCCCGCTCGACTCATTCGACAACCAACGGGACTACAGATAAAACAGGTGATGTTACACTCCAGAAACAGGATAACGCCACAAGTCGAAACACACAGCACGTTCACGATGCTGGTCTTCCTGATAGGCACCCATGAGGTTGTAAGTAAAAAGCTTTACAAAAGCTCCATCCAAAAAGCTGATGTTTTGGCCAATTACGCCCTCTCGTCCCCTCTGATCCTTGTATAGACAGTCTTACCCGTCTAGAATATTCATAGACACCTGTCCTTCGCTCTCGTTCTCCAATTGTGCGCGACGATGCCTAAGTTTCGTCTGTTACGGACTCGCTAGTCTTCATCACGGATATGTTGTGGACCATCCAGATGGCTAGTGTCATGGTCGTAGTTCCCAAATCCACAACGAAACTAATCAATATGTCTTTTACCAGTTGTCTACCTGTGCCATTAGAGTGCTTCCCTAAATGTTTGCAGGACACTTGAAATCCATAGTAGGTAAAAATGATAGCGACTTCCTACATTCATCGGTCAATTAACTCGAGTAGTAATCCGACTACTGTTAATTAGTGGATTCTTCGAAGACGATACCACTGAAGTTCCCATCCATTATTCCATGGTTTTCGTCGAACCAAACAGCAAAGGACAACCACCATAGACACAACAAGAACACACATGTCTTGTCTCAACTATTCCAAGAAAAACAATGCTTACCCGATCACCTGAATCTAACCTCGTCTCAGGACAAGCATATAATGTGGAGAACTTCCCACACCACACAGAAAATGTGTTGGGACGAATTACTGTTCTACCTTTCTCACAGCAGCCATAGAACTTTTCCGTCACATATAATGTAAACACTCATTGATTGTACTCCGCGTTTGTCTGACAGAAATATGGGTCCAATAAGTAACTAATTACCCAGCAGACATATGCAGATACAAGCAATCCGCTGGCCTCATGAGAAAGTTCTTTCAAAGGAGCAGACCACTTCCTTGCGTTATTAGCCAGAACATGACGTCATGGGCGAATCTGTTAACTACAGTCTACGGCTCAATTCCAGTACCTTAACAAAGTAATTTAGGGGTGGGTGGCAAAGTGGTTAGTGATGCAGGTGCTGGTTCGACCCCTTTTGCCACTATCCCCTTCAACGCCTGTAGGAATACGTTAGGTCGACTATCTCCAAGATTATAAGGAGAGTCGACTCGACCGGCATTCTACAACATTCGTAAAGAGGACGAAATTCTCATGCAGGAAGCGAAACAACACAGAAAGTGCTCGAAGACCTTTGTGGAAGATGAATACGAGAAAAGCCAGTCGTATGCGAGAAATATTGGGAATCGCAGAGTATATGTGATGAGGGGTCATATATAATAAAAAGAAGAATTAGTAAAGAGGTTCAAGGGCGCAACATCTCCATATTGCAGACCTCTCGACCAGTCAACATCACAATACAAATCCAAGCTCGAGAACTGAGTGCTGAACCTCACACATCAATGACTAGTCACTTTTACCTCGCTATTCAAGCCATCGAATTACTATAAGTGGTGGCCCAACGACCACTAGAATATTTTATGCATTATCCGCACCCAACGGTTTACCGCCTCATCGTGGTTGGAAGGTGTTCCCAGGTGTCGGCCTGCAATGTACTGCGGTGGATTCATCCCCTGGCAGCGTTTCCCACGATGAGAATGAGTTCGGCGTTCCCATCAGAAAGCACAGCTAAGAGTAAACCAATACCATGATCCACCACCGACCTGGTATCAAAGTCGCATGGTAGCGAATCTCCCTCCGATCCACAAGTGCTCAGACTGCCTGTGGCGACGACCTGGGCAGACTTTGGCCAAGGCTGACCTCGGTCCTTGGAACTCCAGAGAAGAACAATAGCTAAACGAGCAAAACTCCAAAAAAAGAAAACTGTGATAGGGCCTAAACCATAAATGAAGACGGGGCATCCAAGTATCCAAGCAACTATCAGCACCCACTACACATGGTCCCTTCTTCCTCTGTTTCAATTTCACCTAAATCCGAATTCCCAAGATATTGAGCATGTGTTTCTCTTCTGGACTTTCCGAATGCCCGATACAAAGCATCCACAAAACTAAGGCACGCTAAGGAATACCGTCACGCTGGACGAAGTCCTGCCTGTTCAATTCGATCCAACTTCAGAGATATGGATAAACGAGAAAAACTCGTCCCATGGCTACAGAAATTCAAAACTTCATTGTTCTAAAATAAGAAAGCATAATTTGTTAGCAACGATCTATAAATTCTGCTGGTTCTCACTTCAAATGACAAAACAAAGCTCCATCCTATATACTCCCCTCCATGCTAACTTTCTTTACAATATTCCAGCCCCTTCGGTCATTGGGAACAAACGGCTCTGTTCTTCCTGCTCTTAGGAACAAATACTAATTGGCCCCGAAATAATCGGAACTCATGTATTTCCACCAGAAATAAAGAAAAAATGAAGTGCCATGACAGATAACTGCTCGAAAATACTCTTGTTCGAAAAAAAAGAAAAAAAATCCCATATCAGGAGTAGCGGATGAGTAACGTCAACAAAACGAAAAAAACCATAAATAAAGGGAGATAATGATAAATCACGAAAAAGAAGTCTCAGAAAAATCGGCATAAAGACGTTCATTGCTCGCCCTTCAGTAGATTCTCATAGAGATGGTCAACATCCTTCTTCAGCAACGGTATGACTATCTGAAATATGTGAAGTATATGACAGCCAAGGTCCGTGTGGATAAAATCGTTATCAAAGTCTATCCCACCTCACCAACTTCATTTATGTAAGCACCAATTGACTTAGTAATCTTCCCTTGCCCAGACCGCCATTCCTTCGAGAATTCGGCAGAAAGGGTGTACTTGTCGTCGTAACTATGGAGATTCAAGAATCATTACAAGACAAAAAACTTGTAATAAACAGCTTCATGTAGGTATATACGGTAAAGAAGGAAACCTTTTCAATTCTGAACTCCATTTCCACACCCGTTTCTGCTTACCATCCGATTCTTCAGCTTGATAGAACGTACGCTTTTCAATGTACCATTGATAGAGCTGTAGGACACCCATCAATATGAAGTACGTGATGGAACAGACCGCAAGAACTATCTTGGACTTCGGGAAGGGGTACAGGTAATCGTAGACGATCGCTGTTGCGGAAAAAGAAACGGCAATGAACGATATGAGCAGCCGTCCATCCATCAACGAATGGTATTCCTTCCATCCGATTTTGTCATTTAATATCTGCAAAGAAATGCTTCTAGAAAACAACAGAATGATTTTCAACGACTACCTGTTTCACTGCATCATCCAAGGTATTCTTCACAGTTGGTCCGTCCCATTTATTGACCCTGATTGGGGCGCCAGTTTTTCCAGTCATTTCGAAAACGATCTTAGCCTGGAAGAGCTTCATTACGGTTTTGCCTATAAAGATACGCCGAATGGAATCTTATGGGAGTGTTAATTTCTAATTTAAGAGTTGTTCAAGCAAAAATCAGCAGGAAGTGAATAGAGCACAAAACAGGATTTAACCAACACGATTTTAGGACATGAAACGGGGTAATATGGCTCTTAAAAACTTGCATTCTAACAAGTAACACTAAAAACTATGGTGCGAGCTACTGACAAGCCTTCTTAACATAAGTATTTACATTTTGGCCACAGGAGTACACAAAATCAACAGCGGAAACACGTGCAACTCATCAAGGAATAATCCAGATGGGATTCACAAAAGATAGTGTGTTCAAGGAAGAGGAAGGACGTCTGCCAAACACGGAAGAAGAGAACGAAGGAACGAGAAGAACGTTTCGAGAGCTTGGTCCTGCAAGCCTTAACTAATGATCCAGACAGAATTCAGAAAATAGCATGCATCCAAGGAACAGGAGTACACTAGTAATACAGTACAGTACATCTGCCAAGTGCTGAAGGAACCAGACGTGCCGAGAGCTCGGCCCAACACGTTCTTCCTGGAAATCTACGAAGACGACGTGGGATATTCATCGCGCGGAAATCATCTGTGCAACAATGATGACGCCAGCTGTTGAGCAGAGCGCGCTTACTTCCAGAGCATTTCGGATTTTGGCAGCGTCCTAGTCTGTGTACTGCAGCGAATGCGAGTTCTACTTTCACTGCGAAAACTTCCAATCTGTAACGAGATGACTCTACCACTTTTCTTCCTTCTTCCATGATTTAGCTATAAATGATGCAGGGTTTGGTAGCAGGGTTTATTAGAGTTCTGATTCCCACATTTCCTCCAAAGCGCATTTAAAAAATGTTTCAGAATATGTAGTTCTTTTAAACTACACAGATCTTCCTAGTGCTAGTCGACATTCGAGGTTTTCTTGTAGATCCATACCTATAAGGTCGATGGAAACTCGATTTTGTATCGAAAAAGTGTCACCTTAGAGTTTGTCTCACCCGCGATATGTTCCGGAATTTCCGATCCTTTCCCCGATTTTTTAAAATTTTGCATTTGTAGGAATAGAACCGCTCCTTGTTGCCTACTGTTGATAGTTCTCCTTACGAAGATTTAGTCGTAACGACAATCAACGAGGTGCGTGTAGCGCAGTGGTCCGACGCGCTCTGCAATACACATGGGATCGATGCTTGCGTACCAGGCCCACCAAGCCCTCCATTCCTCCGGGGTCGGCAAATTGGTTCCAGATTTGCCTTGGAGGGTAGCAGCATTGGTTTGATACGTTGGTAGGCCACCGCGAGTCATTGTATGGGCCAGTTATGCATTCATTCACCTTCAACGATGCTTAATGATGTGAATGCATGGCGTATCACTAAGAGATTGATTAATGCCGAGAACTTTATCCTTTTTCTCTTAGCAGCTATTAGGAAAGGATTTTGATTTCAGGATGTTTGGCACCAGTTCTGTTTCAACAACAGCGTCGACCTGTGTCGCTGGTTCATCACGTAAGCTTCGATTTTATTTTAGAACTTTTCTCAACATAATGCCCAAAATTTAGCCTTTTCTTCTGTTCCTCTCTCTACTTCAACTGCATCGTCGACTTCCCAAGCTACATCACTATTTGGAGGTTTGTGTATAATATAGCTTCCTTTTAAGTTGCTTGCTTTGATCTCTCATCCTTTCGTTGCAGTAATAGACGTGCTCCTAATCTTTATGCATTCTTTCCTTCAGGTCCAATCACAGCAATGCCTCATCCTGTCGAAAGCTCTGCGAGGGACCACGTTTTCTTTGTCGCTATCGATTGGGTAGTGTTCTAATTATTTTTTTTAGGACATCGACAGGAGCGACAAGTACAGATGTCTCAACTGGGGCTTCGTTGAAGGGTTTGCTCGAGAAAGAAGGGTCTGTTGTTTCAGCATGTTCGCAGTTGCTCGCAATGATGAGTGCCGACACGGAAATCAGTTTTTCTGACTTATCTGCGGTTTGTTATTCCGTCGGTTGCTTGATTAGTGGGAATTTTTGGTTCGCTAACTAAGCAATCCTTTCATTCGTTGTTAAGGGTGTGCTTACTTGCTTCATTTTTAGACCGCAACGGGCTAAATATCCCTACTAGTTTTTTGGTTTTCTATTCAAAATTTTTTTATGTTTACATTGTGAGTTCTTTATGAGCTCTAATATACCTATAAACAAGGATTAAAATGCGTTCTAGTGGGAAGCCGACATATTCGTTTTCGTTTCATACCGGAAGGTTAGCGCTACGAGATCTCCATTATCTTTCTATTCAAACCTCACATTCTCATTTGCACTAAGCTAAAGCTTTGTTACAATTTGATTCTTAGGTAGGAGAATGAGCATAATCGGTTAAACAGCATTCCATGGTGTGGCTCCAGGTTCCTTGACACGTGAGATTCACGAAATTCTTCCCATATTGTTGTTCTTTGTCCTGAACTTTCAACTAGGTTGGGCTGGCTAGAAATTGACTAGGATCTACAATGGACTTGCCTGTAGGTTTTGGTGCTGCTTAATAAAGTGAAAGTTCACTTCGTGGCCATAGCTAACTTAAATGTGCGACAAACACGTTGGCGCATCTTTACCAACGTCTCCTTTTAAGTTCTTTTGTTCCCCTCGGGATATACTTTAATTCCGTTCTCAGCATACATACTTATGTCGATATTTCCTTCCGAGACGTTTTACAGTATTCAGGGGTTCCAGTAGATACGACATTCCTTGATGTTTTATTCATTGAACTTCTTCCAATTCGTTATCCGTATTCATCGAACATTCCAAATATGCATAGGTTGTTATCTTCTTAGTCGGTGATTCCACCTAGGATAATCTATACTTCTTCACACCACACGTTCTTCCTGAACTGGTTTTCTTCCTTATCATGCATAATCCGGTTTTCTTCATAGTTCGTTAAGGTCGACAAGCATTGTCTCTCTCCTCTTTCATGGTAATTCATGAGAAAGGGACAATGTCATCTTTAAAGTGAACGTAGGAAAAACTGTGCATCAATAAGTAACCTTTTTTGTCGCATTACAAAAACAGCACATACCATTTGTAGGTGCCAATGAACATCTTTGAGTGAAAAAGTTGTACTTCCATTAGTCACTGACTATCTCAGTCAGCAGGCGTTCTTACATATAACACATTTACACTTTTATTTACTGTGTTGGACAGGATGACATCGGTCTTTACACTGTCGAATGCTTTCTCTTAAAAAAAGGGTAAAACTCTCGGCACTGATCAAGTCCTTAGGGATGCGCCATTCATTCCACTTCATTGATCATCGTTGGAGATGGTTCAGTGCATATTAGGCCTTTACAATGACTCGCTGTGGCCAATCGATCTATCAAGCCGGTGCTGCTATCCTCCCAGAGAAGTCGGGTACATATTTGCGGACGCCGGAGGGATAGAGGGTTTGACGAGCCTGGAGCGCGGGGATCGGTCCCATGTATTTTGCAGGGCGCCTCAGACCACTGCGCTCTGCACTTTCTCGTAGTTAACGAAATATAGGAAAAGAGATACGTAATATTTCCTGTGGACATCTTTACAACTCGTATGTGTCTTTCTGTAATTCATCGAAGTAAATCCTTTCCTAAATACACCTCAGCTTGCCACATGTATTGGACTTTCCCTTGGCCCTGTACGTTTAAAACTTTGTACTTTTCGAGTTGAGTTTTAGCTCATGAGTCCTACGCTGATGGCTTATCCATCCTACTTGCAAATATCGAGTTATGTGTACTGTAACTATAACGTGTAGTGCTTGTCACAAACTTATTGAGTCAATCGCCTTCAAGCTTCAGGCTCCTTCTTCAGCTGATCTACATATAATCATTCGTGGCGTTCTTGCAAAACGAATAGTAGGATCTGGTACACCTGTTTTGATAGCTTCCCGGTCCTCGTCAAGAAGAAGAGGCATCTGAACTTTCGTACTCACGAGTATCTCGGGAACATTCCTTTGCGCATTTTTCTTTTTGCGCTGACTCCATAATCATCTGTTAGTATTGGTAAGGATCATCCTGTACTGCTTCACGGTAAATGAGTGTTTGAGTTAATGAGTATTCGATCTTTGTAAAGATCTAACCGCAGGTGTTCCTTACTTGATGAACGTTCTTAGTTTGCCTTTAGGTTAAGAAGGGCTTATTCCGCGCAGGTTCGAAAACCTTTTAGCAACATTTATTTCGTTTGGTCCTCGCTTTCGTGTCATTTATAATTTGATATGTCCACGCTGAGGTTGGACTAGCTATGTACTGGTTGTTTTTCGCTACTCCCTCAATTACCACACTTGTTTTTTTTTCTGGTTAAAATGAGTTGGTTGAACGAAAACTAAGGTGGTCTGGTCTTTTTATTTTGCCGTTGATAATGAGGTTACTGAGCTGGTGTAACGCAACATGGGGCGCGTGTGGCGCAGTGGTCAGAGGCGCTCTGCAAAACAAATAGGATCGATTCCCGCACCCCTGGCCCACCAAGCCTTCGATCCCTGTAGAGTCGGCAAGTTGCTACCAGTTTTGTTTGGGAGGATAGGAGCACGGTAAATACATCGGTAGGCCACAACGAGTCGTAAAGGCCATATATGCATTCAATCACCTCCAATCACGATGCTTAATGAAGTCGAATGCATTGCGTATCCCTCAAGGATTGATCAACGCCGAGCCTTACACCGTATCCTTTAAAGCGACATAAACTCGTAATTGCAGATTACGCAGAAAATGACATTGGATCTAGCTGCAGATGAACGTGCTTTTCTCAACTGTTTACTTGAATTGAATGCTTATGACAGGCAACTTTGGGAAAACATGCAGAGGGTAGTTTAGCCATGGTCTTCGGACTTCAATATCTTTTCGGTTTGAAAAAAAAAGAATGTTCTCATTAACCGTTTTTCAGATCACTGACGTTGATGCAAAGTTAGCAGCTTTGGAGGAAAAACAAAGTAAAATGATGTACAACATCAGTTGTATTAGTGAAGAGCAGAAAGGTTGAACGTTTAACTTGTGTTTCATGTAGTAAATGAAAACAACTTTCTAATGGAAGCATTAATATTACTAGCATTGGATGCTGCGGTAAGCGAAATGGAAAAGTCACTAGGTCTTGCGGATTGGACAGATCAGAACAGCGATCTTCCTATGGACGCCTTTTCTGCGACTCCAAGTGATGTCAAGAGACAACAACTGTGTGTTTGAGATAACTTTTGTCTGATTTGTAATTGTTGTATATGATAATCGTTCTAGTCTTCAACTACTTATAAGTGTGGACTCACAAATCAAGGAAACAGATTGTGACTTGCAAGAGATTGTTGATCAGGTTGTTTCTTGTATCTTTACGATACTATTTTCCATAACGATGCTCGGATTTTCGCAAAACATGGATCCCAGGCCTGATCGAACCACGATTACCGTTTTCCGGGCTCGCCTATTACACACTGCGCTATTGAGGTTCTTGCTTTGCGTTTCTCTTCGCTAGTTTTCTGCCTAACGCTGCCATCAGCACTATTTTCTATTTTTTAACACTAAGAAAACTCTTCTATAGCATTTTTTCTCTAAATAGAGGTCATCTATGTCTGCATCAGTTGGTTATACAAAGGTTTCCTCAGCTTTGGATGGTGGTCATTAGAGTATACTCGTCACTCCTAAATTTGAAATGAAAATGAGAGCATAGCGTCACCGTATGCATTGACTCCAATGCATATGCGAAGTCAAGTTGGACAGTACTCGTCGATTTAATGCAACTTCTTCCCGATAGTTTATTTTGTTGCATAGAATTTTTCTACCATATTTTCTACATTTTATCGATGGCTTACTTATCCAACAGATTCTGCGTTAGGCGTTCTCCGTAAAAAGTTATTCCTATATGCTAATCTTTAACTGCACACTTGAATATCTCGTCTTTACAGATCACCGCGAAGTGTTAGGACCTCCTTCGATTTGAATGGTTTATTGAATTATTCATGATTTCTGTTTACTCTTAGCTAAATTACCGATGGAAATGTCTGACTTCCTCGGTTTGTGAAGCCTTCCTATGTAGTAGATACAGAGGAAACATCTTCATATCATGTCGTAGAATGTTTTTGATCTGAGTCCGATGGAGTTCTGTGCATCCTGAGATTTCATCTTCTTTCATCGGTTGTCTCGAAAACGGTGTTGTCGGAAACGACCAGTGTGCGGGTTACTGAGACTGGTTTGGCTCTTTGTTGTTCCTAGGAGTCCCGATCCAGCATAGCTGGAACTTTTCAAGACAGTATCAGATGAAGTCGCCAGCGCTTGGGGTGGTGGAAATTTGCTACCTTGTGACTAGTTTGCTGCCATGCTACCAGGACGACGGTTGTTCTTGGCTATAGTTTAGTACTAGTTAGGTTTCCGGATGGGAATCTCATACTCTTTAGCTTGGAAGGACATATCGAGGAATGAATCCCTGTTGTAAATTGTAATTCGACGCTCTAGAAGAACTTCAGCCACGATGTGGCGGTAGGCTATTGAGAGGTCAACATTTACAGAAAGCCGCTTTATGTTCGCCTAGAGAGATCGTTGCTATTATCTCAAGGTGATAAGAGAAGATTCAATCGGTAAATTTCTAACCACGTGAGCTGTTGCTCAGGAGATTACTGAGGTATTCATCTTTGGAGGACACGATAAATCGCATGCAGTGGTCTTCGTTCTCACAAAAACGTGAAGAATGAGGTTTAGTTCCGCGGGACCGACACGGAAAACTAGACGTAGTCACGGGACAGTTTTAATTAAAGTAATAATGGCTTTTTAAAACTTGCAAATTAGTGAATAGAACAGTTCGAATGAAACGAGGAGAGAATTCGCTAAAGCGGAGTAGTCTCAGAACGGATGATGCGCATTGTTTATAGTCGCAGGTGGTCCCGGAGTAGGCGATGCGATTGTATGCTATGTATTAAGTCTCCATTGGTCTGTTTTTCTGTTATCAATTTTTTTATTTTACATGACGTGAGGTTACACACTGTTAAATCGTGAGGTTAGAATAGAAAGTCGATCCTGGGAACTACTACGCATTGTGCTATTCCCAACACTTCTTTCATTCTTTCCGTTACCTCGCATCTGTTATGCACGAAGGTCTTCGGATTCGCGAGTGGATTCGGCTGCTGCTTGAGGATTTCTGGTATTAATGAGCGTCGATGGATGCTGGTCGAGTTGGCTTTTCATAGAATTCTGGCGTAATAGTACTACAACTTTCCTAGGTCTTGTGGATCAGGAGAAGCTTCCCACACGAGTTCACTGCAACTTCCTCGACTAAGGAGAGATCGGAGGCTTGGTTTGCCTTGGCTAGCTCGAACCGACACCTTGTACTTATGAAACGGTATCACCACCACTGTATTATCCGTACTCTTATCTATATAATGACATATGACAAGCTGGATGTAGTCATACCACCATGAAGGGTACTTTCTAAACGTTCACGCTAACTTCCTTCCTTGTTTAGATCAATAAGGGTTCAGGTCTCTGCACTCCACAAATTCAAAACAGCAATGTCTAATGCGAATAAAGCGACAGAGGATCAGGTTGCACAAATATTAAAGAACCAAATGGAGACACTTCTCTACATTGATCGTAAAACAGGTTTGCCGCTGATAGAACAATTCTTTAATCTCATTGTTATTTAAAGTATTGCTTAATAGGCGAACTTGATGCAAAAGTTGAAGAATTCAAGGAAATACTTGTTGGCCGCAACACGGCTACTCTTTGATGACTTGCATCAGTAACCAGGAGTACTGACAGTCGGGTGCTTGTTATTTTGCCTGTTTTTTGTCTTGTCTTTATTTGTCTTTATTTTCCATATTGGTGAATGAAGTTCTTATGTATTTTATATCTTACCATGTTTAAACGTACTACTAACACTTTTATTCTCAAAAATAGCAGTAGTGAAGTTCCACAACAAAGGATCGTAAGGATAAGTTCCACACCAAATGTAAGCTGATCTTGGCTTGATTAGTGAAATTTCTTATATCGACCATAAGATATACATGGGAACGATCCCCACGCCCAAGGTTCACCGAGCCGCCCATCCTTCCGGGGTCAGCGTATCGGTACCAGGCTTGTCTAAGAGGGTAGGAGCACTGGCTCGATATATCGGTAGGTCTCCGCGAGTCGTTGTGAAAGCCAGATATGCATTTAATCACCTCTAACGATGCTTAATGAAGTTGAGTGCATGACGCATCCCTCAAGGATTGATTAACGCCTAGAGCTATACCCTTCCATCTTTTTTTTTATCATCTCCCAGGCCATTAAATGCATGCAACTATATTAATTCATGTGCAAAAAATTGCTTTCAATACTCTATACTCATGTCCAAAAACATCTAACACACACAGGCAAAGGTCTTGTTCTATCAAATATAGCTGTCGAACATAGCTGAACCCAAATTGCAATGCTCGCTATGAATGGATATTGATTCACGCCAATCAATGTAAACAGATAGTACATTTTATCACAATTTCTGCTCTGAAGTCCGGAATTCCGGAAAAATTTTAGAACATGTGCGTGATGAAAAAAACTCGTCTACCAACTATCACAGTGCTTTTGGTGTTTAGATATTTCTTTGAGTAATTTATGGATGGATGATATTTGTTATCTGAATGTGAGTCAGACAAACAGTCTACACAAGGACCAGTTGTGGGAGCCGAGAACAATTGAAAAGATGAAACAATTGGTCTCTCCATGCCTTCAAGTGGGAATTGTTGAATTGTCTCAGCCGAACGATAGTGGGACGTCTAGGTTTAGGAAACCTTCGGATTCAATCTTAGGTCTCAAGTTATGTCAAAATACAGTTTTAGCAAACAGTTGAATCATCTCCATTTCGTAAACAATGCAGTTAATGAAGAAAGAGAATTTCTACAGGAACAAGGTATTTATATAACTAGTCAATAGAAATTTCTAGGCAACCAACAAACCTGGCAGAAATGCCTGTGCTGGCGAGTATCTCGTGTAGTTCGGAAATAAAGCCTTATTGTGATAATGCATGCCACTCTAGACAAAACATTGGTTAAAATAACTCAAATTGTGTACAAGAGGTGTTTGAAGGATAAAAAGGATAAAGCTCTCGGCGTTGATCAATCTGAGGGATGCGCCATGCATTCGACTTCATTAAGTATCGTTGGAGGTGATTGAATGCATATCTGGCCTTTACAATGACTTGCGGTGGCCTACCGATTTATCGAGCCAGCGCTGCTATCTTCCCATACAAGTCTGGCACCAATTTGCCGACCCCGGAGGGTTGGAAGGCTTGGTGGGCCATAGGCGCAGAGACCGACTCCACGTGCGTGTCGCAGTGGCGCCTCCAACCACTGCGCCACACGCCCAGGAAGTGATTACAGATATAATATTATGGGGAGTGCCAGCAAAGTAGGGACGCGAGCTGCGCAGTGCTGAAGGGTGTCTTGCAATACACACGAGTTCTTCGGTTCGATTTCGCGTCCTGGACTGACTAAGTTTTTCATTCCTCCGGGGTGAGCATACTAGTACTAGTTTGCCAAGGTAGTAATACTGACTTGGCACATCGATAGGGTTCCGTGTCATTGTTCAGGCTAAATATGTATCCAATCACCTTTAATGATGTTTAATGAAATCGAATGCGCGACATCGGTCAGGGATTGATCGACGTCAAAAGTTTCGTCCTTTAACCCTTACATCGGTGAGGTTAGAACTAGGAGACGTGATACGTCCGAACGACAACGGATAGACGAATGTCGTCAGTGACTGAATTCCTCAGGATGTCAAACACAGTAGGGAAGACCACCGACTCGATCGTCAGAGTTCTACGTGAATATCGTATAAAAAGATACGATGCTCGATGAGTCGCTAGAGCAAAGATACTTCACTGAGGAACTCTTTAATGAGATAACGACAAATGGAAACTTTGTAAACGCCCGCTGAAGTCACTGGATGATCTACATCGCTGCGCAAGAACAGAGAAGGATTTCCGAGACTGTCAGCGAAAGTTGAAGAGGCAGCAATTAGAGCTCCCACAAAGCAGAAGCGTTATGATTGTAATGTACTGAAATTGTAACATTATCAGAGACATTATCATAGTGTTCATGACGCATGGCCACCAACTCATAACGGAATAAACGGTAGAAAGCACCAACCCAAGGAGACTTCGTGAATACAACGGACAACATTCTGTTCTATTCTCCACATTTCAGGAAAATTAGGAAGTAATGAGAGCACTTTTGCTTCTTCACGGTTTATGTACATACACTTTTCTCTTCCAAGAGTGCAGACGACTGCCTTCCGTTTATTCGCTCAAACGTATTTAGTGAATGCACAGAAGATCTAGCAGACTACTTAGTACTGTATTCTACGTTAGCCCTGTCTTAGTAGAAACTCGAAAAATAGAGGCAATCTCTTTGTCCGTAAAAGGCATTAGCAAGAAACCATGACTACATTTGCATATGTTTCAAGGTGGTTAACACCATATGCAGACAAAACAACCAATATTTCCGTACACGGCTTCAACAGTGACCACAAAAAGTGTTTACTGTAGAGGTTGCAAGGTTCGACCACATGTGTGTTAAGTATTAAACGTAGTGGTTGAACTTGGCGAAATTGTTGAGAGTACATCAAAACTGTAAATAGTAAGAATTGCAGAATTTAAAATAAATTCATTTAAGCGTCACGTTTGTAATGAAAATAAGGGTAGGAAACAAGGTATACTATGTAGAAGTAAATTGACGAACGTGTACATCAGGTAGAACAAAGAAAATGTCCTCAGTTCCTCATGGTGACATCAACACTCAGCCAAATGCGAAGGTAGTTTCCAATGTAACGTACGACGACAAGCACATCTACTAGATCAAGATCTTCAACACTTCCGGACGCCCATCGGATGGGCGATCAAGGCAACCGACATGAAGCGTCTTGTGGTCGGCCCAGCTTGCGATGTTCTCGACCCCGAAGAAGCAACACTTATGGCTGCATCGTGCGATACTTTCGAGTATGAACGGGAGGACACCAGCAATTATCGTATCACCGTAAAATAGTGTAACACCCCTGATGGAGCCGCAAAACAGTTCAGACTTGAATGGTTCCAAGGAGATGGTATGCTACGCGGCAATAATCTTCCCACTGAATACAACCCATGATCGGTCGACTTTAATTTAAATCCGTGAACGCTTAGATCTTTTAGCGACAAGGATTTTGGTGACTACGCATCCACAGCTGATCGGCTTTTATATAGAGACAAATCAATCCCACTGTACGATTGAAATCAAAGAAGAAACTCTATCGGAAAAGGGTGCCTTTTTTCATACTATCCACACATACGGATCTCCCTTATATGAGGGATCACGAGACGGTTAGTCGCAAGGCTATGTGATGCGTCCTCAGGTGGCGGATGAGACCCAGGTGGATCCAGTGGATGGACTTTCTGTTTCTGCTGCGCCGATTTGTGCTCGCTTGTGTGGGTACCTACAAGTTTATGCCGATTGTAATCTACGAGACAATTCGGCCAAAAGCCCGCCATCAAGTGACAGGGAAGTATATGGTAGGCGGTTAGGAGTCACCTCCAATAAATAAGCTCCGACCACATCATAGTAAACTAAAGGTTTTGCCTAACCGATATCGCTGTTGTCCAAAAATTCAAAAATTCTACACGGGATCAGACCACCGCCTCCTTCGTGCAGGATTCTATTTCCCGCGAAAATGAGGAAAAGCCGCTAAATTCAAAAACCGAAATCCCAGAAGCACCATAAACTGGGACTTATTCAGATTCATTAGTCAGCTGTTGGGAAGATGCCGTTGTGGAGAACATCGACGAGGAACACGATCCACTCATTCAACATCTTTACGTTAGCGCTACGAAAGCTGAGAGCTCGGAAGTCACCAAGAGACGTCTGTCTCCAGAAACACTCGAGCTGATACGCCAGTGTGGAATCGCACGAGCTGCAGGCAACCGCGAGCTAACGTCCGAACTTGCAAAGCAATGCTGACAGGCGACAAAAATATTTTAAAGAGGGAAGAGCAGCAGTAATGGTCGAAGTTTCAGAGGCTGGGAAAACATTCGCAAAGCACACCAAAGCTTCGCCAATTACAGGACCAAAATGATTCCACTCCGACGCGCAGACGGAACACTTACAGCGGCCAAAAGGCAATGGAGAAACTCATTCACAAATACTACTCGGATCTCTTCGATAGCTACGTCCACCTTCCCTCATATGAAATAAAGGAGGATGGATATGTTGTACCACTGGTTCTCCGTTCCAAAATCCGACATGAATTTCGTCGGTGGAAAATCGAACAGCGCCAGGTCTGGACAGGATTAGATCTGAATACCTGAAGAACCTTCCGCCAGTCCTCGTCAACATACTGGCTCGGCTCTTCACACGTTACCTGTCTGAATGTAAGGTCCTTACTCAATGAAAGACCAGCAGGACCGCGCTATTGTTCAAGAAGGGTGACCTACACGATATCGGCGACTGTCGCCTAATCTGCTTGTTGTCAGTCTACAAACTGTTCACTCGACTCATCCTAAACAGGATTGACAAAATACTTGGCGAAAGACAGCCATGCGAGCAAGCAGGGTTTCGAAAAGGATTTAGTACGATGGATCGCATCCACACCATGAAGAAACTCATTGAAGTATCGCGCGAGCACAGAAGGCCGCACTGTCTCACTTTCATCGATTTGAAGAAGGTTTTTGTCTCAATTGAGGTAGAGGCAGCCATAGAAGCTTTGATAATCAGGAAGTCGGTATTCATAATATAAAGATTCTTCGTGAGATATGTAAAGATTTCACAACCAAGACATTACCATTCTACAACGATATTAACATTGACGTCCAAACAGGAGTTAAGTGAGGCGATACTATCACGTTAAAATTATCTACCGCCACCTTCGAGAACGCGAACATTGGAATGGGATAATATGAGAGTGAAAGTCGATGGTCGGCAATTACACAATCTTCGCTTTGCTGACGATTTCATTCTTATAACACCAAACATTAACCAAGCGAAACGAATGCTTGCCAACTTTGATAAAGCATGTGGAAAGATTGGTCTTCCACTAAATCTCGCAAAAACGATGTTCGTGAGGACCGATTAGGAAATCAGTATGATAAACGACTCAGCTCCAGAGTTGAGCAGAAGGAAATGAGCAGCCTGGGAAGTTTCTGAGAGCATCGAGGATGTAGTGAGAAGAACAAAGAACATCCGACTCCGTGCCCACCTTTTCGACTCAACGGTACTTCCTGCCCTAACGTATGCGTCAGAAACCTGGTCGCTGCGCAAACAAGACGAAGAATCACTCAGCATTATTGAATGCGCAATCAAAAAGACGATACTAGGAGTATCCCATGTCACACAGTAAGGGAAGCAATTCGAAGCTTCGACCTGCGTCAATGATCAGAAACCAGAGATGTCATTCTGTACGCCAAACAGTCGATGATAAGGTGGGCTGGACACGTAATGCGTATGAATGACAACCGATGGACAAGAGCCGTTAGTGATTGAATTTCTCGGAATGTCAAACGTACTGCAGGAGGACCACTAAACCGATGATCAGAGTTGTTCACGAAGAACCTAGAAGAAAGATATGATGCTCAGTGAGTCCCTAGAACGAGCAGAACCCACTGGGCTACTCTTGCACGTGACACTGAAAAACGGAAGATTTACTAGGGCCAGCTCGAGTCACTCGACGATCAACGGGACTACAGGTGATACAGGTGATATACGCGATGCAGGTGAACCACACGTATGCGACCAGTCCTAATCTCTGTACGCGCAAAATGCATTCAGATTAATGCGTAGACCTCGCCGTGTCACCAAAATGACCAAACCTCTTTACCGTGCAATTGTCCTCAATCCGTGCAGTTTTCCATGCACATGCAGCTAGGCTAGCCTTGGGACTCCACAGACTCACAAGTTTCTTAATCAACAAGAGATCATCCTCTGCGCTAAGCACACTGAACGCTTCCTCATACGACGTCGGACGGTTAGACAACCGATAAGAGGAATTCAAGTCTCAGGACATCATTTGAAACGGATCAAAACAACAGATTCGCGATAAGCTATGGCGAATTCTTCTTGCTCTGCAGCTATAATACCAAAACAGTCTTCTAACATGTTGATTATTACACTCTCTTCTTGATAGCGCAGGTGGTACCGGATTTCAGGTGATCGCCCTATAAGATATAAAAGGCAAGACGACTCACATAAGTCAATTAGATGGCGAAAGCCTTGCCACTCGAAGAGGAAAAAAACCGTCATAACGCACTCGTCCATTACTTATCGTATCGTCTCGAACCACTTTCAATGCCTTCGCGTGGCCATTCTTCGTCTCCAAACCCCAAAATTAAAGAATGTCAACGTCATTAACTGCTACTCAGCAGTCATCCTATGAAACTGCTATCAGAGAAATCAGTAACCAACCAAAAAGAGCCCGAAAAGCCAACAGATGAGTGGAAATGTTTGAAACGGAATACAGAAATGGAAATTCATTTCCCGAAAAAAAATGAGATCACCACAGAACATACCAGTCTTCTGAAAACACAGGAGATACGGAGTCCAACCACATCCTTTCAAGTAAAAGATATCGCCTATTTTACAACTCCATAGCGCCATAATTCTGCACGAGCCTAATAACCGCTTTCTTTGGGCAAGTTCTCCAAATGAGATATTAAGATCTCATCACCACTTGTGGGTTTTCACGATAGCAAAGCTGAAGCCTGATCCTCCTACTCTAAGGCAACAAACACGACTGATAATAAGTACTACCTGTGGGAGATTCATACTGGAGGGCTTGCTCCGGTGGGGGCAAAAAAAGAAGCTGTTGGAAGCAGCTCAAAAAAGACAGTCTGATGAACATCTGTTAGGACCCTTGCGAATACAGTGCTTCACCATCAACTACTGATGAATGAAAGCAGGAATATTATCACCTGCCACCTTCACCGGTATCACCTGTTGGTCCGTTGCTCCTCGAGTGACTGAAGCGGAAACCAATAAATCTTTCATTTCTCCCTGCCGCGTACAAGAGTAGCCCAGTGGTTTCTGCTTGCTCTAGGACCATTGAGAACCATACTTTCCTTCAAGGGTTTCCGTGAAGAACTCTAACCATCGGAGCAGTGATCTCCCTGCAGTACGTTTGACATCCCTAGGTATCCAGACGCCAACGGCTCTTGTTCGGCTATTGTTCATGAGCATTACGTGTTCGGCCCATTTTCTCCAACACTTTGGCGTATAGAAGAGCATCTTTGAATTTTCATCGTTGTCGTAGCTCGGAGCTTCCGTTCCTTTTCCTCAGTTGGGTGATATGGAATGCTTCTAGCATGGCCTTTTCAACGGAGCATTCTATAACGTTCAGTGATCCTTTATTTTAGTTACCTAGCAAATAGTTTTTTGACGAATAAGTTAAGGCAAGAAGAACAGTGGATTTGGAAAGGCTGGCATAAAGTCGGTTGTTCTTTCTTGTCATCACTACATCCTCGCTGCTCCTGAAAGTCCCCAAGATTCCTCCTACTCAATACTGGAGCTAAATGGTTTATCACGATTTCCTAATCAGGATATACGTAGATGGATCATACGTAGAATATTCGTACCGTTCAGCATGAATGCGGTATGGGTAACCAAAGCGTTCCTCATAAACGTCCTATTTGTGAGATTTAGTTGAAGTCTAATCTTTCGACAGGCGTTACCAAAGTCGCCAAGCATTCGCTTCCCTTGGCTAATGCTTGGTGTTATAAGGACGATGTCATCAGATTTCCGCACCTGTGCCGTCCCATTCCAAACTTCGCATAACGTTCACGAGGGTGGCAGTAAATAATTTTAACGAGATGGTATCGCCCTGTCTATCTCCTCTCTTCACATAGATGTCAGCATCTTTATAGAATGGTGATATTTTTATCAATAAACATTTATGCTTCTCACCATGAATCTTTGTTTACGGAGAACAGACGCCCTGGCTGTCCAGAACTTCGATAACTGCTTCTATTTCAACTGAGTCAAAAGCCTTCTCTAAATCGATAAAACTGGGACAGAGCGGTCTCTCGTACTCTCACGATACTTCAGAGAGTCTTGCTATCGCGTGTACGTGATTCATCGCACTGAATTCTTCGCGAAACTGCGCGTACTCACATGACGGCCCTTCGTGTAGTGTTCTGCCAATTTTGTTAAGGGCGACTTCACTGAAAAGTTTGTGGACGACAGACAGAAAGGAGATTAGGCGATAGTTCTCATACAGTAGAGGTCACCGTTCTTGAACAATAACGTAGTCATTCTGTTCTTCCATTGAGTAGGGACCATGCATTCAGAGAGGTAACGTGTGAAGAGCTGAGCCAGCGTGTTTACGAGGACTAACGGAAGGTTCCTTAGGTGTTCTGGTCTTATCCTGTCCGGACCTGGAGCTGTTCGATTTTTCACCGACGAGATGGCATGTCGGATTTTGGAACGGAGAACCAGTGGTACAACATATCCATCCTCCTTTATTTCATATGACGGAAGGTAGACGTGGCTATCGAAGAGATTTGAATAGTATTCGTGAATGATTTTTCTCCACTACTTTTCTGGAAGCTGGAAGTGTTCCATTTGGAGGAGGAAGTGCTGCCATCTTGGTTTTGTAACAAGCGAAGCTTCGGTGGGCTTTGCGAACGCTTTCCCATCTGCATCTTCTACCATAACTGCTACTGTTCTCTCCGTATGATCCCCTTTCATCGCCTGTCTGCACTGCTTTGCAAGTTCGGACGTTAGTTCGCGGTTGTCTGTACCTCGTGCGAATTTATGCCGACGTATCAGCTTGAGCGTTTCTGGAAACAGACTTCTGTTCGTGACCTTCGAACTTTCAGCTTTCATAGCACAAACGTGATGTTCAATGAGCCGATCGCGTTCGACGTCGATGTTATCGAAAATGGTATCTTCCCAAAAGCCGACTAGTGAATTGAATAAACCACAGTTCATTGTCGTTTTGTGAGTTGGTACTTCGGCTATTGATGGAATATTCCTGCCAAACCTTCGTTCCGCCGACGACATTGTCATGTTCCCAAGAAGTACCAGCGCAGAGACGATGATCAACGAGCTCAACGAAGCGGGAAAAAAGATCGAACCATGCATAAATTGGAAGAAAACCCAGTCCATGAAACCCGTGGTGCGAAGGCGAAAAAATTGCACTGGATGGCTCTCTGATTGCAGATGCCGCCTCGTAGGTATACCTTAGGCGATAAGTGTACATCGAGAACAACGTGAAGGGAAGAACTAGAGAGAAGAAGGAGAGCAGACTGGGCCGCATTCAGGCCTCTCAAAGAAGCCACCAACCAAGTGAAGGATCCGAAAATTAGAGCTCACCTTTTCGATTCAACGGTCCTTCCAGCGCCCTGTTATGCTGCAGAGACGTGGTTTGATACTTCAACTACGTCAAGAATGCTTCGCACTACTCACAGAGCGCTTGAGCGATGTCTTTTGAAATATAACCGGCACTCTCAATACCTAGCCGAAATGCGAAGCTCTGACAATCAAAATCTGTCGCATCTTCGAGATCTAGGAGAATATGCATTGATAGCGAAGCATAGTTGTGCCGGTCACATAATGAGAAGAACAGATGAAAGATGATCGAAAAGAACTGTAGAGTGGACTCCACGTGAATGCAAACGTCCCCAAGGACGGTGGCCTACACGTTGGGCGGACGTGTTCGTAAACAAAATTAATCAGCCGTATCTGCAGCTGCAGTTATTTTATAGATCACGGCTTGAGACTTGCACGTGCCACCATGCTCGAATAAAGCCACCACCATAGACGACGATTGCGATGGAAAGAAACAAATGGCAAATGTGCTGGAATCCGCACAACTCGTGAAAACTGATCATCCAAGTATCCAAGTAGGTATGGGACTTCGTTTCTTGAGTAAGCTGCTTTTTCTCCTTTCCGTAACAAATGAAATTTTGGACGAAGGAGGCGATGGTCTGATCCCGTGTATAATTCTGGGACAACGGGGACATCAGTTAGGCAAAACCTTCTATTTACGTTGTGGTCTATTTCGCTATGGTAGTCTCCATTGGGAGACTCCCACTTCAATCGTTGAGGATGGGAGCCCTGGAATTGCCAGTTACCATGAATGGTCTTGGCCGTCATGGCAAAATCACACAGCCCTCACCTGCTGGTTCCATTCTAATCAGTGGGTCCTAATGTGAGACGTTCCTCAGACATCCTTCTGAGTCTAGCCTTAGACTTAAAATCTCGAATGATGACTTTATGGAACGTACGGTCCTGCCTGTAGAACTTCTCCGAATCCACATAGAACGCTTCAACTTCGGCTTCGTCATAGCTCGATGTCGGTGCGTAAGCGACGAAGATTATCCCTAAGCTGGTATTAATCCACATCTCTTCAATCGTAGACTTCCGATTCGGGTTTAGTTGTTCGAATGAACCGATGTTCGTGACCACATTCGTTTTGGCGAGAATACCGACGCCATCGATTCCTCTACTCTCCCATGTTCCAAGGAACAGTTCTTTTCCGGTATCATAGACGGTACTGAATGGGTGGCGTCTGCTTCCTCTACTGAGGAACAAAATGCAAGTGGGTGTACATTGTAGGTACAGATTGTTGCCTTAGTCCTTTGCGATTGGAAAAATTCTACACAACAATTCCCCAAACTCATGCTCCATCTCCTTATACTAGTTCTACCCAAAGTTGCCGTATCCGAGGCTGGTTCGGGTTCAGTGGAATGAGGTTTCTTTGTTTTACTGTGACTATTGTTTGATACCTACGTATACTTTGCTTTGCCAGTCTCTCCCATAGTAGACCTAGAGCTTTTTTGTTGGAGGCGACTCCTAATCGCCTCCCATATACATCCCTGTTGCCTGATTGCACGCCGCATAAACCAAAACACACCCACACACGCGTGCATGAATACGCCTCGGAAATACAGAGAGTATGTGCCGAATCAGCGTAACAGAGACAGGGAGTTCATCCCCTCGATCCATCCGCGTATCAGGGAAGCAAAGGTCGCTTTTGGTCAACGATTAACCCCCTATACGACACCTGCGGACTCGTGACGTAGTCTCGCGACTAAACGGCATGTCCCTCTTTATGATGGAGATCCGTACAGCCTCCCACTGTAATATGTAATTAGTAGTGTTCTACGACCAAGAAGGCGAACAAGTTGGAGGAAAGTGCCCATTTGTAAAGTGGCTCGTCATTTGTGGAAAGCATCTTTAACTTGATAGGAACTCTACCTAGGAGTAAAGAACAGTTTAAATCGTAATTCTTTTCAGCACTCCAGTTTCCACAGGAATGCTGAGATATTCGCAAAACTTGGAGCTCGGGCCAGATCCGGGCAAGTTTTGCGAATATCTCACCATCGTTGTGGTTATTGTGTATTTCACGCCATCCCTGCCATAAAAAAATTATATTAGGCAGCAAATAAAGGGGTAACATTGTGGCTCCGGTTTTCGTTTTGGAAACAATATTACATTTAGGAGACAATGATAATACGATACTCCGTACAATATTTGTCCGGGCCATTTTGTCATCAGCCTAAACATTTTGCACTGCTTTATAACGGAATTTCTTGAGTAAGTCAACTATACAAATAACTTGCGCTATACTAGGTTTACAGAGTTGTCCTAGGCTACTTGAAAGTTTCATAAATGATAATTTATTTCATTGTTCGTTGAGTTCCTCAAACGATAGAGTAATGTGAAACTCTGAAAAACATCCGAAATTTCTGGGACACTAACAGCGAGTTTGGACACCCACCTGACGACGATGTGTTTCAGTAGGTACATCTCTTAATAACTCGAAAAACCGATTTTCTATAAACTTCGGCATAGATAGTTGATACATCCATTTATGTGATCTTATAAACTGATCTTCTTAAGCGGACGCGAGGTTGGTACAGGTCTTCGTTGTCGTTGTTTTTGATGTTATTGATCGATAGCTGACGTTTCGGCGACTTCGCCTTCCTCAGAGCCGTGATGTTACGTGTCCCGCACGTAAGAAGATCAGTTTATAAGAACACATAAATAAATGTTTCAGTAGGATTGATAATCGTTCCTCACATAGCTCGAAATATAGCGGCTATCGTAAGGTCCCCACTGGAAAACCTTGCTAGCAGATGGCGTCGACGCCGAGGGGCAGGGCCGCCATCCTGCTCCCACGATTGGCTCAGCGTGTCTCGTTTCTGCTGATTGTCCTAGAGAGTGTCGCCGTGATATCAGTTGCAGTTCAGGCATTGGCACCCTTTTAGTTCGGATTCTGGATAAAAGTGTGAGAAGTTTCGAAATTCAAGAAGTGCTACGCAGAGAAGAACACCGTAGGCATAACAGTTGGATTGTGAGGAACCATCGCAATCGATCCGTAATCAAGGATCTCTCATGATGTTGGGGGTTAATTGGCATGATTTTCCCTTCGCTTCACATTTAGAATATTTGACTACTGCCTGTTGGTGGAGCCTATTTGACTGCACTTAGTACCTTGTAAACAGTATGCCAGGCTTCTGGACATTGATCTTCATCGCTCCACCAGGTGCTACTTACCATCATCTTACGACCGTAGGAGGAGCGCGTATGGCACAGTAGTCGGAGGAACCCTGCAGTACACACAAGATCGATACCCGCGCCCAAGGCTCACCAAACTTTCCATCCCTCCGGGGTCGACAGATTGATACCTGACTTGTTTGGGAGGATAGCAGCACCGGCTCGATACATCGGTGGGCCACCATGAGTCATTGTAAAGGTCGAATATGTATTTCATCACCCCCAGCGATGCCTATGAAGTCGAAAGCATGGCGCCTCCCTCAGGGATTGATCAACGCCGAGAGCTTCATCCCTTTTACGACCGAAAAAACCATTTGAGATATAGCATCTGCATCAACATAACTGAATATTACTAATTCTACCACTACTAGTATGTAATCGCTGGACACAACGTGCCTACGTCCCGGACCAACCCAGCAACGCAACGCGTACGCGACAGGCGTCACCAATCAATACACTCCCTTGCGGTGTGGGGGCCTCCTCTCTCATCGTGGTTCCTCGACACATAGCGTACCTAGTGTACCTAGCGTGCTTGGCGTTTATCCACTGTCGTTCTTCTGTTTGCCCATTATCTCGCCCTGTATCCTACCAATTGTCCTTCATAGCTATGGCTGTTAAGGGGTGCAAGTAGCCAGTGGTTAAAGGTGCTCTGCAACACAAACGTGGTTTTTGGTTCAGTCCCGGATTCCAGGCCGTCCAGAGCTAAGCATTCCACTTTTCTGCGGTTGGGAAGCTGGTAGCACACTTGTCTGGGAGGATAGCAGCACTGACTCGATACATGGCTAAGCCGCCGTGAGGAAATCTAGAGGTCAGATATGCATTCAATCACGGTTACTAGGTGTATACCTTTTCCAGTTCCTATAGGATGTACTGCATTCTTTCTCGCGTGCTGAGACCTTCAACTCTTTTCCTATCCTTTTTTGTTTGTATTCGTTTCTAAACGTGGAAAAACTGATTCATTTCTGCTTCCACGTTTCCTGATCGCATAGGGTAATGCAATCTGTCGGCTTGTAGCCCAAAAGCTTGCAAACAAATGCATGATTCCTCCACAAAGTTTCCCGTGGAAACCACTTGAATCTTGTGGAACTAATGTGATGCGTTGGTAACGTTCTTAATTGCTTTTGATACCGCTATCACTTAATGAAAGTGCTATAACCTTGGACCCAAAATATTTACGAGTTTGTTTAATGGTATAAGAACTTAGCTAAATGCTCCACTTTGACGTTTGTTGACAATAAGTGTGTATACGAAGCTTCCTTTTAGGTGAGTTAATGGCGAGCCGAATAGTTGCTTTCCCAAGTTCCATTTAGTAGTTGGTTGGGAATTCAGGATGTGGACGCTTCCATAGACGGTTTTAACTGTCAACGATGTGTTAATGAAGATGAGCTGATTTCACATGAGGCAGAGGTGGATTCTGCTTAGCTGTGTTAATGAACATACCTATTAGAAATAGTACTGGCTTTTCTCGTTCTTGTCATATCATGGTAAGGTGCATGATTCTAGTTAAACATAGGAGGATGTGTGCTATCTCGTTTTTCCCACTTCATTAAAAATAAGTAGATAAGTGGATTTTAAAATAACCATATCGTTGTAGAATTCTTATATTCGTTTGAAATCGGTGGGTGTTTCCATTGGTTTCGTTCTGCTGTTGCTACTCAGCGTCCTATCCTTTAGCTTCTACGTTCCTTCACTACACGGTATATTTTTGTGCAGAATATATGATTTTCACTTTTTTCAGATGAGTGACGATAAAGTTAATATGGCACTTGATGACATCATTAAGCTGAATAAAAGAAAACGAGCTGGGAAGGTGGTCAAGAGAAGTACGGAACGCGTCCGACAGGTAGGCAGCATGGTCCGTAACTAAGCTGAAACATTATCTCAGTGTTAACTTAGCTGTTAATTCTTAAACTGACCATCGTGTTTAAATTGTTGAGCTTACACAAGGTAGATAATAAATCTTTATTCGGCTAACGTTTCGTCGTCTTCATCAGAGCTGATGATCCGAGTCGGTGGTCCACAGTTGTTCTTCTCGAGGTGGCGTCCTCGTAGTCGTACCGAGGTGGCAGTTTATACAGGATGGTTGTTGTTGGTAGCTTTCCGTTGACTACGAAGACGCCAGATCGAGACGAAGAACAACTTTGTTAAGTTCATAGTAAGGAAAAAGGAAGTTAACGCTAAAAAGGTGAAGCTATCGGCGTTGGTCAATGCCTGATTGACGCACTATGAATTCGACTTCATTAAGCATTAAGTGGTTGAATGCATAACCTGCCGTTACAATGACTCGCAGTAGTCTACCGATGTTTCGAGCCAGTGCTGCTGTCCTCGCAGACAAGTTCGGTAGCAATTTGCCGACCACGGAGGGATGGGTGGCTTGGTGAGCCTGGGACGCGGGGACCAATTCGAGGTGTATTGCAGGGGACCTCCTACCACTCAGCAGCTGTCTGCGCCCGTAAAAAAAGTGAGTAAGTTGTAGAAGCTATTAAAATTAGAATCCTCTCATCTTCTTCAGGATGCTAGTTCTCTTGTTTCGCCGTAACGAAATTGCGATTTTCTGGACACCAGAGAAAGTGCTTCTCCCGTTTACCTTCATTTGTATTTCAAACACGTGGTAGTGAACAAGTGGAATTTCGTTCAGCAGATGTTGATCCTCAATACATCGTTGGAATTCTCGGCTACCGTGCGTGCACGAAAATTTCAAAAATTAAGAAACTGCTTCACTTACAGTTGTTTAACAATTTTAATGTTAAACGTTAAAATTAAAAGAATAATTTATGAAAACTTCATACACCTATGGTACTAGAGCAGTCTTCTATGGGCCTGTTAGGTTTATATCTCCTCTATAAATTCATTAACACAAGAGTCATGTTGTTGAGAAACTGTCTTTCAGTTGTAGTTAAGGGTAGTGATTACTTGATTTATGTGGCGGAAAAAAGGAAGGTTACATAAAGTCGGTGTCTAAATTTGTTTCCCACTTCACAACTTGCAACGCTTTGCATAAATGCCACGCGTTTTTTTTACATAACTTCACAGTAATGGATTTCCAAACGACATTCATGTTTTTCTTTTTTTAAAAGTTCTATTCTTTCTCTCTATAAGCAGGTCTATTTTGAGGTGAAAGGACGGAGTGGCATCACCTCACGTGGTAGAGGAGGTCTGGCTCGTCGCCGAGGTGCTCCGCTTAACATCGGTCAGCGACGAGGCGCACGCACGCGATTCATTCAGCGCCGTGGCATTGGATCTCCCAGCACAAACGTCGCCGTTGTTGATAATGCTGCTACCCGTCGTTTCGTGAAGAAACTTGTCAATGTTGGTGAAATATTTGTGCTTATGTAATTTTCTGTTTCGCTTATTGTGTATATGTGAATACTAACTTTTTCAAAATTCTGGACCGCAGGTGTCTGCGGTGGAGAACGAGTGCGCTGTTACTCTTTTCGAAGGTAACGCGTTCATCACCACTCCATGTCGGTCCTTCTTTTGCCTATCTCTCAGCTAGTTTTCTATCTACCAAAGCCAGCTGAAAGACGAGAGAAGAAGGGCTCCCATGGTGTAGTGGTGAACGAGTTATACCCCGGAAAAGGTTATAGTGCATTCGTGCCCCACCGCGGACACCTGCGGTCTAGAGTCGTGTAAATATCTCAGCATCATTGTGATTGTATATATGGATAATTGTACCATCTTAGAATAATTACGTTCTGCTCTACTGTTCTTGCTTTTTTTCAGAAAGCAATACGAAGGATGCGAGCAACAAGTACACCGAGGGTCGCAGATCGTGGAGCAGTACGTTTTTAAATGCACACGACACTTTCTGCAACACAGTGTCTCGACTCGTTATGGACGAGTTCCGATAACTATTGTTGTCATTTTCCATCTGCGTATAATGGAAAGTCACAAGTACTGCTACTTGCAAACGCACCCGTCCTTAATATCTGCCATTCGCTCGCTAGATGTAACTAATCCCTTATTTCACCTACGGAAACGAATAACGAGTGTTCTGTCTTCCTGATCGTGCCGGACACTTCTGGTTACTTATCGAGTCATGTCGGCGATATTCAAGAACTGGTTTTCTTTTTCCAGTTTCCAGTATAGTTATCTTCTTTTGTTTTTCATTGCATTACTTTTCGATTATAGGTTTATGCTGATGCATCCCTAACTGGAGTGAGTGTGCGATCACGGGGAATTCGTAAGAGAGTTGTGCAGATTCCAAGAATCGTAAGTTCATCAATATTTCGCTGGATTCCATGAAGATAGAAGCTCTTATGAATATCGCGAACTTTACTTAGAAGAAACAGCTTGCAAATAGTATGAGCTAAAAGCTGATATTTCATTACGCTAAGGACTGTAACGTGCTTAGAAAACTATCGTTAAGGTATAGCATCTCCATCTAATCATTGCATCAATTATGCCATAGTAATGCCACAGTGATTAAGTTGTATAGGTGTTATGATAAAGTCATAGATGTTCAGTATCAATAAGGTATTTTGCATTACTGCTTTAACGGCTATAAACCCTAGCGTCAACATTTTAGGTGAAAGTCATTGACTAACTAGGAAGATCTAATGGTTATGGGAATATTTAGGTCGTAAGAAGACCGAGGCGTATTCGTTCAGTTCGTCGGCCACAATTTGAGGAAAAGTGCGTTGTTTTTTCATTTCATCAAACATTTTTAGGACGTGCATTTGTAGATGCGTTTCATAATTGGTTGTCCACTGTTGAAGTGGTTACTTCTATGAGTTCTATTGTAGGTCCGAACAATTCGTTTACCAGCCAGTACGCGTCGTTGAGCGTGAACCTTCGCCTACACAAGTGATTCGCCGACGCCAAGTGAGACCCGTGTACCGTAATGAGCGTGCTGCAGTACGAGTTTTACAAAATGGCCAGCGTGCAGCCGTGATGCCAGTTCGACAATTTATCCAGCAGCGTTCTGCCCAGTTTCCTATTAGGCGGAACCGTGTTTTCGCTCAACAGCAGCCTCTTACCAGCAAAGCATTGATTGGGAGGAATGTCTATGGTACTGGACGCCAGAATCCTCGAGGAAATGTTATTTACGTTAACGAGGAGATGAGTTCACGGGTAAGACATATAACGCATATCATTTCTGTCGTTAGTACTATACATTTTTAGTTATAGTGTCAAGTCACAAACTTTTAACATCGGTAGTTAATGATTTTGTTTAACTAAGTTTACCACTGGTTTTGTTGAGGTGAAATTATAACGTTTTGGAAACCTCCAAGATTTACCTCGGTGCTGTCATCTAATGATATCTTGACCGAGGTTTCAAACTTAGATTCTGATCAAAGTAGGTAACGTTTCCTTGCGTTAACTTCTTTTCTTTGGTTTTAACCTAACGATATGCCATATAGAGTTCTATCTACGAAAGACAACTTAGTTTGCCATAGTTTGGTAGTGCAGCACAGTATGACAAGCGCACTTGATGCTATGTAGACCTTTTTAAATTAATTATTTCTAAAATCCGTATCCTTCTGGAGGGCGGTGGAGTTCTCTATTTTTAAATGTGGTATAGAGAGTCACAGCGTTTTGACGTACAAAATTCATCGATAACTAAGCCTTTTCATAAAAGCAAGAACAGTTTGTATTCCGAAAATTCTTGAAGAATAGAGCCAACAGTTATAGTTCAAACAGTCTATGTCCCACCGCTCTTATAGGATAACACCTGTATCAACTGCTATCCTGTTGACTATTAAGTGGCTCGGGCGAACTTAGTAAACCTTCCATTTCTCTTTGTCGCAGTAGTACCCCATTAGGTTCTGCTCTCTGTAGAGACTCGCTGAGCATCATATCTTCAGCCTAGGGTTTTTGTGAAGAGCTTTGAGGGACATTCGGAAAAATCCAAGCGCCAGCAGCCTTTGTTCAGCGATTATTCATAAGCATTATGTCTGCCACCCACTTTTTCTTTAACAGTTTGCCGTATGTAACACTATCATTTTTGATCGTTGACGCAAGTCGGAACTTCGGATCCCTTAACTCACTTGTGTGACACGGTATACTCTTAACATCGTCCTTTCGATTGCGCGTTAAATCACGCTGAGTGGTTTTTCATCCAGCTTACTCACCGACCAAGTTTCTGACGCATACGTTAAGGCAGGAAGTACCACTATTGAATCGAAATGGTGAGCAAGGAGTAGGGTGTTCTTTCTTCTCTTCAATGCATCCTCGATGCTCTTGAAAACTACTCACCGCTGGTTACCTTCTACTCGACTTTGGAGCTGTCTTATCGCCTTGCCTAACCCCACTTTTGACGTAAATGTTAAACCTTTTTATTTCCTGCCTAGTATAATTTCGCGGCAGGGTACTAAACGAAATACAACCACAACATTGCTGAGAGATTTGCAAAACTCTGGACCGCAGGTCATATATCTCAGCAACGTTGTGGTTGTATTTCGCTTAGTAACCTGCCATGAAAATTATAGAAGGCAAACTACAGCCATAGCTTAACTGGGTTCTATGATGATTTGCGCTCCCCAGATCAACGCCGCTGATGGGTGATTGCTGTGGCAAAAAGATCGATAGAAATAACAGAGACAGGCGAAACGAAGGACCTGAATGGTGTGGTGGTGAACGCGTTACTCCCCGGAAAGGACAATAGCGCGTTCGTTCTCCACCATAGATACCTGCGGTCCAGAGTTTTGCAAATATCTCAGCAACGTTGTGGTTGTAAATGTTAAAATAATTGTAGAATCTTCTTTATATGTCTGGTAAGGTTGCTGTCGCTGTCCAGGTCTTCCAGTTCTATCTCAACTCCGTCAAATGCTCACTTTAAATAGATGGAACTGATTCAGATCGGTCTCTTGTACTCTCGCGATACCTCGATTAGTTTTGTAATCGTGTGGATGTGATCCTCATCTGTAGTGCATCGTACTGAATCATTTTGGAAACACTACTTGGTCACACGAGTGTCCATCTTTTCCAGTGTTCTGTCACCGTCGAGGTCACCCTTGAACAGTTTCCCACTGAATAGATATCTTGCATTCCGGCAGATAACATGTGAATAGCCGAACCACTGTGTTGATGAAGACTGGCGGAAGGTTTCTCGGCTGTTTAGATCCTGTACTCTCCGTACCACGTATTGTTCGATTCTTTACTAGGACGGTATATCCATCCTTTTTTAGTTCATATGAGGTGGAAAAGGCGTTTGGCTGTTGAAGATCCGACAAGTAATCATGGATGATTTTCTATAGGACTATTCTGGAAGCTGTTACTGTTCAGTTTAATCGTCCGAGTGCAGTCACCTTGGTCTTGTAATTGACGAAGTTTCTGTGGGCTTTGCGATTGCTCTACCCATTCTCAGCAGCTTTAGCCATAAGTGGTGCTCTTCTTTCTTACGATCTTTCGTCGCTTTTATGTAGTGTTTTGCAAGTTCAGATTTGTGTTGACGGTTACCTTTGGCTTGTGCAATTCCACGTTGGCACATCGGCTGGAATCTTTTTGAAATTGGACGTCTCTTGGTGATTTTTGCGCTTTCAGCTTTCATACCGTTAACGTGACTATTGAATAAGCAGGTCGTATTTCTCGTCGATGTTATCAATAGCGACATCTTCCCAAGCGCTGACTGATCTGAATATATCGCAGTTAATTATGGTTTTGCGATTTTATTTTTCAATTTGTTAGCATCGCTGATGGAAATCTTCGATTTACTGTGATGTAGTTTCCTTCGATGTGGTGCTGTCAATAGGGAGGTCCACGTCAACTACGTCCAGCGTTGAGAACGGCTGATCGTAGCTTCATGCCTGCATGATCAGATCCTCTATAGAAGGCTCTGAAGAGTTATATACCAGTGATTAAAACAATATGTTCTCTGAGCAGCAGAACGGTCTCTTGAAGTTTCTTTTGTGGTCAGTTTGAAAGAGGGTTTTTGAAGAGATGGTTTTAAGCGTGGCATTAATGATAAACATATATCCTACATCTTTTAAGAGGATCTTGTGCAGTAAACTGCTTTGCTGGATTCATCTGCATTATATTGATGTGGCAGCTCAAATATTCTCTTGAAATTGCAGATCCAACCTTCCGCCCGTAGCGGTGTTCGTTTTATTAAGAGGAGACCAAATCGTCAGTTCGTGACTTATCGTGGGGATGAGCTAGTACGTTATTTTAAGTTTCTATCTATATAAGTGTGTACACATATGTATGTATATACGTATATTCAGATATTGAGTAGATTGATGTATCTAATTTACTTTCCAGTTCGAGCACATCCCGTCAACTAGTGCGCCTATCGGCAATCGCGTATTGAAGAGAAAAGGACGCGGTTTTGGCGTTCAGTACGAGTACTAGTTCGCATCTGTATCTTCTTGGTATTATGTATTCGTCAACTTTTCTATTTTTTAAGTATGGAAGGTCGTCCTATTCCGTTTTCTGTGAAGTGCTGATTTTTTGTTGCAAAGTTCTTTCGTTTCGTCCTCTCAAAATGTCAATTAGTAGCTGATTTTAACTCTTTTTCTTGCATTCCGATAAACATGCACGACATTTTTGCGTACTCTTCCAAGCTAATAGAATTTCCAAAGAAGTGCTCCTGGTTTTTAAATGAGCACCGTTGGTCCAAGATTTGATAGTGCCAGTGTGGTATGCAGTTATCACGGCTATAACAGATATGATTGGAAAGTCATAAGATCATTTATGCGATCCATTTTGGAACTAGTTGAAGGACTTATAGTTAATCGTTTTAGTTAGCAATGAGTCAACTAGTAGCAGTCTGAACTATTTCTTGTCGGATGTCAAAGCTACCCACTCACACGAACGAGGTTTATATGGGCGTTCTAAGAACTGTTCATAATAGAATAAGGCTGTATAGCAATACATTCAGACTCTAAAGAAGCCGAAGTCGTTAAGACCTTAATCTTCGAACATCAAAAATATGGGTTAAAAGTCTCGTGTCAACTAACAAGTAGTGCTACGTATCATCGAAATAGCTTGAATACTAATTCAGTGTTTAAGGAAAGTCGGTCTTTCCATTCATTACTGGGTTTAGCATATGAGAAACAGATGTTTCGCACGATTGGTTGTACTTCTGTATAGGTTATTTCCTGTATCGGAGCGCTAACCTTGGATCCGTTCGTGTCTGGAGTGCCAGAAATAACGAATAGGTATTGAGGTATGTGGCCCTTTTTCAGTTCGATACCAACGAACTGGAGGATCTTTTTTTTTGCACGATACTGCGATAACAAGTGTCGATACTTTCCTAATGTTTTGTGCAGTAGGACTGTCTTGTATGTTATTAAGCGCTAGGACTTGTCCCTGACAAGTTTTTCAGGAGACCCTTAAACCAAGAGTGTTATATATTTTAGGACAAATTTGACACACAATTTGGTGGTGGAGACCGCGATAGTATTCGAATTGTCCAATAAATCTTTTAAATAATTGAACGTTTTATACAACCAAAATGGTGCTGAGATATTTGCAAAACTTTGGACTACAGGTGCCTGTTGTGGGCAACGAACGCGCTATTACCCTTTCCGGGGGTTAACGTGTTCACCACCACACCATGTAGGTCCTTCGTTTTGCCTTTCCTCAGCTAGTTCTATCGACCAGTGCTATCAGCAATCGCCAATCAGCGGAATTGAGTTCGTCGCCCATCGCAGACACCTGTGGTTCGGAGTTTTGCAGATATCACAGCACTATTGCGGTTGTATCACACGTAATACCCTGTCGTGAAAAGTTGTAATAGGAAGTAAATAAGAAGTTAACGTTGTAATTGGACGTTATTCTAAAGAGCGTTACATGAATAGTTGCCCCTAAATGCGGTCCAACCTTTCTCGACTTTTCGGAAAAAAATATCAAAGTTTTCATCTTGAGCGATTGTGTCGGTGTTGTGAGCAATCTGTTCTTGATAGCAGCTCGAAATCCAGGAATATTTCCTTGCTAAAGGAGGAAAACCATTGAGGGAACATTTGACACCGCAAAAGGACTATTGACAACGGCTAAATCTTAAACTCAATATATTTTATTTGAACATAAAGAAGTTCTGTAGAGGAGATCACACCCATAAAGTCGCCATTGCGGAGTTCAACCGCAGGATTGGCGATGGCACCACCGGCTGAGAGAAAAGTAAAGCAAGGTCCTAGGTTGGTGGAGTGGATAGCACGCGAGTCCACGGTGAGGATAATCGTGGTTTCGCAGCCCATTGAGGACCTGTATTTTATTCATATCTCGGCATCATTGTGGTCATTTAATCGGCCACTTAAAATCAGCGAGAAACAGAAAATCGCCCAGAACAGGCTGACGTTATGTACTGTCACTTTATCATTGCTCAGTTTAGATAGATTCCTCATGTTCTGACGTTTAGCTACGTGATCCACAATCACAGTCGTTATCCCTGTAGCAAAATAGAGAAACTGCTTGACATTTATAGATCAATAGTGGCTAGGTATGAACCATTCCAAAGGCCTACTTCCAATTAACCTTCACATTAAGGAACGAGTTATTTTTTTTATTATGAACTGTTTTTGATGAGCTAGCGTACGAAAACGAAAACTTGACTGTGAAGTGGTAACCTCTACTAGGTTGAAACGTGACCTCCTAAGAAACTTCTGTCGTATTGTAGAAGCATCTGTTAATGCTATTGCGTACGGTGCTAGAGGCCTCCTGAGCAAATACAGCTCAGTATCATTCTCATCACAAGTGGGCCTCTATTCTACTAGAGATTCCATCTCTACAGTGAACTTCAAATCGTCCCTGAACTCATAGAGGCGAGAACACTAGTCTCAATAGCTTTTTTGAAAGAATTAATGTGGACGAGACGGCTCTAATGGGAACACTACGCCGTAACATCTCGTAGAAAAGTCATCAACTTCGTACAAAAGATATTTTAGATGGCTGTTGCAACACAAGAAAAAACTGAGCATGTAGAGAGGCAAATTCTAAGCTGTGTTGTTTTCTGCTCTACAAAGGAAGCAATCGGTAGAGTGCTGACCACAACCTTGACTCTCATGTATTCGATTCACTATTCCGAATTGAACTACTTGCCAAGGTTTTTGGAAAGGAAGTTCTTCTACTAAATTGAAGTGCAAATTGCACTTTGTAGAAACAAATACGTGCCGATGATATGGTGACCTTGAGGTTTAGCAGTTTTCAATAGTCATTTTACTGTTGTGAATGTCCTCTCAATTGTTTTGCACCGTTTAGCAAGGAAGTGTTCCTGGATTTCGATCTGCGATCAAGAACAGATTACTCACAACACCGGCACAGTCACTCAAGCTAAAAGGTTCGACATTTCATTGCGAAAAAGTTAACAAAAATTAGACCGCATTTAAGAGCAGCTATTTATGTTGTGCTCTTTAGAATAACGTTCAATTATTTAAAAGAGTTTTTGAACACCTGGAATGTACGATAATGTGATCTCTTCACTCACAAATTTTGTGTCATATTTAACCGAAGATACTACAAGAATATGAGGACGGGTAGCAAAGAGGTCGGAGGCGCTCTGCAACACACATGGGATCGATCCATGCGCCCGTAGCCCAGTAAGTCTGCAACTCCAGGGTCGGCAAAGTGGTACCAGACTTGCGCGATATCACTCGTATCACCGGTAGTCCTGCAGATCGTTGAGAGAATCGTGCGAGCGCCCAGGCGCCAGTAAATGTTCCATTGTTCAATGTCACGTGCAAGAGCAGTCCAATGGGTTCTACGCGCTCTAGGGACTCCTTAATCATCACATCCTTCTCCTAGGCTTTTCGTGAAGAACTCTGACCATCGGTTCAGTGGTCCACCTGCAGTACGTTTGACATCGAAAGCAATTCAGTCACTAACGACTCTTGTCCATCGGTTGTCATTCATACGCATTACATGTCCGGCCCACCTTATCTTCGACTGTTTGGCGTACAGAACGGCACCTTTGATTTTTCATCATTGACGGAGATTAGAACTTCGGATCCCATCCCTTACCTGTGTGGAACGGGATACTCCTAGCATCGTCCTTTCGACTGCGTGTTCGATAACGCTGAGTGACCTTTCATTCTGCTTACGCAGCATACGTTAGGGCAGGAAGCACCGTTGAGTCGAAAAAGTGGGCACGGAGTCGGATGTTCTTTGTTCTTTCAACTACACTCTCGATGCTCTTGAAAGCTCCCCAAGCCACTCGTTTCCTTCTGCTCAACTTTGGACTAAGTCCTTGATCATTTTGATTTTCCTACCTAGATAGACATAACTGAGGTATTCGGAGATTTTCATTCCGCTGAGCGTGAATGGAGCATACGAAACCAATCCGTTCCTCATAAACATCGTTTTTGTGATATTTAGTCGAAGGTCAATCTCTCCACAGGCTTTATCGAAGTCGGCCAGCATTCGTTCCGCTTGGCTAATGTTTGGTGTTGTAAAGACGATGCCATCAGCAAAGCGAAGATGGTGTAATTGCCGACCATTGGTTTTCACTCCCATATTATTTCACTCCAATGTCCACATGACTTTCTCGATGGTGGTGGTAAATATTTTTGGCGAGATGATATCGCCTTAATTAACCCCTCTTCTGACTTCGACGTTAATATCACTGTAGAATGGTGATATCTTGGATGTGAAATTTTTGTGCAGCTCACGAAGAACCTTTATGTACTGAGTAAGGACTCCCTGACTTTTCAAGTGCTTCCATGTCACTTCTATCTTAATCAGGCCAAAGGCCTTCTTTAAAACGATGAAAGTGAGACAGAGCGGTCTTCTGTACTCTCGCGATACTTTCTCTGAGCCTTGTTACCGTGTGGATGTGGTCCATCGTACTAAATCTTTTTCGAAACCCTGCTTGCTCACATGGCTGTCCTTCGCCGAGTGTTTTGTCACTCCTCTTTAGGATGACTCGAGTGAAAAGTTTGTAGACGACAGACAGCAAAGCAGATTGGGCGATAGTTGCCGATATCGTGTAGGTCACCCTTCTTGAAGAATAACACGGTTTTGCTGGTCTTCCACTGAGTAGGGACTTTGAATTCAGAAAGATAACGTGTGAAAAGCCGAGCCAGTGTGTTTATGAGGACTGGCAGAAGGTTCTTCAGGTGTTCTGATCCTATCCTGTCCGGATTTAGTGCTGTTCGATTTTCCACCGACGAGATGGCATGTCGGATTTCGGAAGGGAGAACCGGTGGTACAACATATTCATCCTTCTTTATTTCATATGGCGGAAGGTGGGCGTGGCTATCGAAGTGATCCGAGTAGTATTCGTGAATGATTTTCTCCATTGTCTTTCTGGACGCTGTTACTGTTCCGTTTGGGCGTCGGAGTTCAGTCGTCTTGGTCTTGTAACTTTCTAAGCTTCGGTGGGCTTTGCGAATGCTTTTCCCAGCCTCTGCAGCTTCGATCATTACTGCTGCTCTTCTCTCTTTAAGATCTTCTTTTATCGCCTGTTTGCATTGTTTCGCAAGTTCGGACGTTGGTTCGCGGTTGCCTGCAGCTCCTGCGATTCCACGCAAGCGTATCGGCTCGAGTGTTTCTGGAGACAGACGGCTCTTGGTGACTTTCGAGCTCTCAGCTTTCATTGCGCTAACGTGAAGATGTTGAATCAGCCGATCGTATTCTTCGCCGATTTTATCGACAACGGCATCTTCCCAACAGTAGACTAATGAATTTGAATAAGTCCCAGTTTATGGTGCTTCTGGGATTTCGGTTTTTGAATTTAGCGGCTTTTTCTCTTTTCCGCGAGAAATAGAATTTTGCACGAAGGAGACGATGGTCTGATCCCGTATAGAATTTTGGCACAACAGCGACATCGGTTAGGCAAAACCTTCTACTTACTATGATGTGGTCTATTTCGTTGTGGTACTCTCCATTGGGAGACTCCCGCGTCCAGCGTTGAGAGTGGGGCTTCTAAAATTGCGAGTTACCGTGAATGGTCTCGGTCGCCTTGATAAATTCAAACAGCCATTCACCCTATTGGTTCCATTCTAATCCGTGGGTCCCAATGTGACGTTCTTCTTTGTTCAATCTTCTCATTGAAATCTCTAAACGATGGCCTTGAAGAATGTATGGTCTTCTCTGTAGAATTCCTCTAGGTTCGTATAGAACGCTTCGACTTCTTCTTCGTCATAGTTTGATGTCGGCGCGTAAAGGACGAAGATTGTCAAAGCCGGAACTGATCCACATCTTTTTAATCGTAAACGTCCGATTCGGGTTGTAAGTTTTTCGAATGAATCGATGTCCACGGACAAACTCGTATTGACGAGAACGCTGCTCTTCTTTCGCATCTTCTGAGGAACAGTTCTTCTCCGGTGTCATGGATGGCGTTTAAAGGTTGGCCTCTCCTCGTCTCGGCTAGGCCCATGACGTAGTACCTTATCCTTCTTGCTTGCATGAGGAAGTCTTCTGTCGAGGACTCGGATGCAAGTGTACGTGCATTGTAGGTACAGATCGTCACCATAGTCCTTTGAAATCCAGGCAGCTTCCATTGGCCCTGAGATTTTAGCAGCCTCTCCGTACTCGTCCTACCCAACGCTGCAAAATTGGTGGTTCTTTCGGGGTCAGGGGAATGAGGTCCGTTCTTTTTACTTTGTTTAGCATTTTTTGATACCCACGTATAGCGTGCTGGGCTCTGAACGTGGGTGCTGGGTATACTCACGGGTAGCGTGCTAAGATCTCCCAGAGTGGACATGGAGCTTATTTGTTGGAGGCGACTCCTAACAGCTTCCCATATACTTCCCTGTCACTTGATTGCAGGCTTTTGGCCGAATTGACTCATAGAATGCAAGCCGCATAAGGGAGAACGCACCCATACACTCATGCATAAATACGCCTAGCACATACAGAAAGCATGTGCCAAATCGGCGCAGCAGAAACACGGACTCCATTAGCTGGATCCACCTGCGTCGCAGGGAGACATATGGTCGCTTTTGGTCCTCCGCGATTACTCCCTATCCGCCACCTGAGGACGCGCCACGTAGCCTCGCGACTAATCGGCTCGAGGTCCCTCATATGAGGGAAATCCGTGGAATACTTTCATATGGACTGTATTTTCCAAATTCCTAGCTCCTTCATAGACAAAAGAAAGGTATTTAAGCTGGAATGTAAGAGCTCGACTTATCACGGTTTTGTCGAAAAAAATTCCCCTGCGATTACAGAACTGATCAGTCTGCAAAATAGCTTTAAAATTAGCAAATTAGTTACATCATCCCAGCGGTTTACCGCCTCGTGGCTAGGAGGTGTTCCTGGGTGTCCGGCTGTAATATGCAGCAGAGGACTCGTCCTCCCTGCAGGGTCTCCCAAGTTGAGAAGGAGTTCGGCGATTCCATCAGGAAGCCCAGACTAAACCAGTACCAGGATCACTCACCGTCCACCTGGTCTCATGGTGTCATATCTCGCTCTGATTCACAAGGGCGGCGATTGGCTGTGGTGACGACGACCTGGGTCAGACGTTGCCCAGGGTAACCTCGGGACCAGGGAAACATAATGGCTAAACCGGTAAAACTCCGAAAAAGTGGAAAATATGCTGGAGTTCGCACAACCAGTGAAGACGGGATATCCAAGTAATCAAACAAGACTGCCATCCGGGACGAAGGTCGCGAGAGAAGAAAATGAATGGAAAGTGCGCTCGTCCTTGTACCGGTCCTGGAGACAAGTTGTGCAAGACGTCCGGACAGATAAGTGAACAATCTCTTAACTCTTTTATTTACTGCCTTTTTCTTCTTAATGGCAGGGTATGTTGCGAAATATAACTCGTATGAAATGCTGAGATATTTGCAAAACTCCGGACCGCAGGTGTGTGCGGTGGGGAACGAACACGCCCTGTTGTCCTTACCGGGGAGCAGCGCACTTCACCACCACACCATCTGGGTCCTTCGTCTTGCCTGTCTCTCAGCTAGTTCTATCGATCTTTTTGCCCACCGCTTTTTCGTGACTTCCAATGAGGAAGTTTAGAACTAGCTGAGAGACAGGCAAGGCGAAGGATCCGGATGGTGTGGTGGTGAAGTGCGCTGCTCCCCGGTAAGGACAACAGCGCGTGTTCGTTCCTACCGCATAGATCTGCGGTCCGGAGTTTTGCAAATATCTCAGCATTATATACGAGTTATATTTCGCAACATACCGTGCCATTAAAAAGAAAAAGGCAGTAAATAAAAGGATTAAGATTAAAAATAGCCTTTGAACAATTGATTGCTTTAAACCGTGGACATAACTCCTATGGTCAAATTACCGGCAGAATTATCGAATAAGTAGGTTTTCGTTCTCCTTCCTAATTGATTTCATTCTTTTAAAACATTGATGACGGATTCACCAACATTCGCTCGGCTTCACTGGATCAAATGCTTAAAAAGCGCTTGCAATAGTTCGCATTATTTATATTTGCAATATTTCTTCAGGTCAAGAGCAGAAACTTCTTAATACATTTTAAACCGCTCATCGAAAAAGTCGGCTGAATGACTGAACGAAAACTTAACCGTGCTAACTTTACCCTATTACAATTTTTCACTGCAGAGTATTATGTGGGATATAACTACAATGATGTTGAGATATTTGCAAAACTCCGGACCACAGATGTCTGCGGTGGGGAACGAACACCTTATTACCCTTTCAGGGGGCAAACGCGCTCACCACTGCTGCACTTTACCGTGTCCTAAAGCGACGGCGAATTCACTAAGAGTCAGATGTTCGAATAAGCTTTAGAAATTAATGAACACCGATGTGCTCGAAAAATAGATGCGGTAAGAACTTGTGTTCAATTCATGGAGGTTTTTCTTTCCTTCAGATGGGCTTAGCGTCAAATCACTTAACTCGCCAAATACATAACGAAGTTTGCATGAATAGGTTGATGGAAAGTTACGAAAATTCGTTCCTGCTAGCTGTTTTAATTGATAATGCCCAGATTAAAGGCGAGGTTAATAGATAATGGAGGTGAGAAGCCATTCTCAAAAATCTTAACCATTTTATTTACTGCCTTTCTTTTTAAGGGCAGGGTATTTTGCGAAATATAACTATTATAATGCTGAGATATTTGCAAAACTCCGGACCGCAGGTGCTTGCGGTGGGGAACGAACGCGCTATTGTCCTTTCCGGGGAGTAACGCGTTCACCACCACACAATGCAGGTCCTTCGTTTCGCTTTTCTCTCAGCTAATTTTATCGATCTTCTGCCACCAGCAATCACCCGTCAACGAGATTGATCTGGGGAGCCCAAATCGACATTGAACCCAGGTAAGCTTGGGCTATAGCTGAGAGACAGGCGAAACGAAGGACCCGCATTGTGTGGTGGTGAACGCGTTACTCCCCGGAAATGACAATAGCGCGTTCGTTCCCTACCGCAAGCACCTGCGGTTTGGAGTTTTGCAAATATCTCAGCATTATAATAGTTACATTCTCAAAAAGTTCTTGGTTTTCAACGACTTCCTCAACACCGCCGCCGTAACAGTGCTTAGATGGAAGGCTCTCGACGTAGCGGATGGACACAACTTCTGTGCCCCAATCAGCAAAAATTAACTAAGCAATAAATGGGTTTTAGAATGTTAGTAAGCAATAAACGTTGAATGTTTTTTGCTGGTGAACTTCTCCAGTGTCACAAACGAAGTGGTGCAGACCGAATCATTCATACTCCAATAACAATGTGTTGGGACTCCGTCATTCTTCCTATATCATTTTCTATTTCGTAGAATTGAAGGTTAAATAATCCAGTTTATTAACTTAAAGACTACAAGTGATAAAGTCTATTCAAGACTAATGACGGAAACAAATGGCTACCGAACTGTGTAATGGAAATGTCACTGTTACCTTTAGCCGCTTTTTGCCTTCAAACAAAATTGAAATGCCCGTTTCGAGCTTCAATTTTGATTATGTGCCTGCTCCAATAGAACATGAGTGCTGTGGACACTAGGAAGAGTGAAAACAAGTTCCTCAAATTTCTTTCAGACATTGAAGAAGAACTAAACACAAAAGTGAGACCAAACAAAAAAATCATTTTTGTAAGTCAGTTTTTCAGAAAAGGGAACAAAAACAAGAAAACATGACGAAAGCGGCCGCCGAGTCATCCGAAAAAGTGAACTGATTGGGAAAATATTAAAATCGGAAAAAATGAAATTTCTGAGTAAAATTTTACGTCGTGCCATAAAGTGCTCTAAAGAGAGTTGCGAGAATCCGTGGATTAGCTTTTAGGTCATCACTTTTACTATCAAATTAGACACAGCTCGCTCACACCGATAAGGGTGGCTCTTACAAAAACAACAAAAACATAAAAATAATTTATGTATTCCGCCCAAAAAGTGGTCGTTAGTTAAAAAAAACTTCAACTCAACACAAAGGAAGCCGATGAGGATGCGAATGGGAGCAAGGCATAAAAGCAATTTATGTATTTCGCTCAAAAAATAGTCGTTAGTGAAAAAGTTCAACTCAACATGAAGGACGCCGATGAGGATGTTAATGGGAGCACAGATGGAGGATCTAGCCAAACGAAGAACAGCTGATTTTAAGACAAACGTTAGAGTCAAAAGCTTCCCCATGGGGTGATTTTGGAGAGGCACTATTGAAGAAACGAGGCTATGGTCAGTAAGGGTTGATTCTGATCTATAATATGATGCTGTGTTGCCATTTTCGGCTGATTGAATTCGAAATAAAGTGGTTCATTTCCCATTAGAGAGTCAATCAAAAGCCAAGGATAGTTTTTGGTAGTAATGAATCCGAGCCTGGAAAAATATTATAATGAGTCTGCCTTATTACCTGATGTTGTAAGCTCCACATACTCGGTCGATGGCAATACAAGTGATGACGAAGGAATTCGCGTAGAACGAGAACGTCGAGAAGAACGAGCACACCCTGCACAACACCTCGCCGCCGTACCACTGAACACTTTGAATAGCAGAGCATGAAAGGTTTCCGAAGGCGTTCAGATGTGAAATGTGAAAGAACACTGTTCAAAAAATTGTATGCAAAAAAATTTCATAAAAATTATCGTGCTGGAATACCTTCTGACGGCTTCGTCTTCGTTTCTGACAACCAACGTGTGAAAAAAAAATCGAAAATTCTCTAGAACAGTCAGGTCCATTGACACCAAATTGCCTATCACGGTGAAAAGCATTGGTGACAGCTTCATACTGTACAAATTCTAGCTTTCGGATACTTAATAAAAAAAGACACACTCTAGGTGTAATTTATTTTCGCGAAAATAAAGAAACGAAAACGAAACGCCAGAATAAAAAGGTTCAAGGCAAGTGCGAAAAGAAAACCCTTTGCACTTCTACTCAAGTAAACAACAGATTCAAATATGTGATTTAGTGAAACTCTGCCGCACAAACTTTTTAAGGGAAAAGACAACGTAGAGTGCCGCGCGGATCTAACGAGAATCCGAAGATGGTGGGCTTGAGGTGAAAAAGCGTTGGTGGGTTGCGTGTGGGGCACAAAGCTCCAGCATCCTTCCCTCTTCTCTCACCTGATAAGTGAGCATCCAGATTATTTGCTTTGGAACGTATACGAAGAGTGTGCATAGGTCGGCGAGATTCAGATTGATTCGTAAGAGTAGAATCGGACTCCTAGCTCTATGTTTTCTGAAATGAAACAACTGTCGAATTTGTTGGTGTTTCTCACAAACCGTCTAACACTAAGGTTTATCGTGTTGCTTATTTCAAAGCAGGCAATTCAGCTGAGAGACTTCTCGAAAAATTTTTTCTCTATTTAGCTCACTCAAACCTCATTAACATGCTATTTTGAAAAATATGCGCAATCAAATTAGCATTTCCATCAGTTCATGAAAGTGCAAGTTACAGTTCCACTTGTTTACGAGCAATCCAACGAACAAGTATTCAATGAAACCGAAGGAGATCAGCGACGTACAGGAGTCAACTAATTTAAACGCAGAAGTCAAACGAATCAAGTAAGTTGCCCTTACACACTACTTAATCTAGTGAGCAGTTAGTTGTTTAGTTTCGAACTCTTCAAAAAGAATTATTAGTTTGATGCGACCCTTGTTGCTGCGAACTATACCTGAATGCGCGAAGAGATCGCCGTAATGCGATAACATTCAGCGGTCCGCCGACTGCAAAGCACAGAAAGTAGATGAACACCTCAATCTAAAAGACAAAAGGATGATGACAGTGGTGAAAAAACGCCAGGTGCGCAGGCAATCATATGGGCGCAACTGCCGCGAAGCAATCATAGCAGCCCGTATTTCGTAGAGCGCAGCATGTCACTCGCTTGCTTCATGGTGGTCCACATCTACTGCCACAAGGTGGTCAAGTGCAAAGTTAATCACAGAAAGAAGAAATATATCAGCTAAGGCAATGCAAAATTGCAGAGTTTAAGACAGCATTTTGAATTTTCGCTTTTGTTCCAATTTTTTCTACATCTCTATTAAGATTTTTCATCTTATCTAAGTACGAAAGTTGTAGAACACAGAATGATCGTCATTTACAAGTCTCACCTAGTTGTTTTGCGTTTCAATGTTATTCTTGTAAGTATTCCCCACTGCTTTCGTTCTGTCCTAAACAACATTTTTCAAAACAAAATAGCGCGTGTGTTAGTTAACCTCAGGGAGCAGTAGCGAATCAAGGTATAAACCGTATGGCACCACATAAAAACAAATAGAGACAACAAATGTGCACACTTTTTCTTCAAGAACAATTCTGATCTAGCAATCCATATATTATCCTCTCGTGCTAAAGTCACAGCAACCGGACAGCTGCGACAACAGCGTGCACTTTGTGTACAACTTTAGTGCACTTCGCTTCAACGTGGACCGAATAACTACATAATGGACAAATCTGGATTCAGAGGGAAAGCTTTATTGAAAAAGTACACTTTTCTGGAATAATTCACTATGAACTACGAACGTTGGCAGTTACCTCTCAGCACGTTCCCACTCCTGCAAAAATCCCGTAGTTGCCACTGCTTGATTCCGCTCGCATCTCGCCTCTATTTTTAAGTTAAACCAATACATTTAGCTGATCAGTCACAAAACTACTTAAGACTATGCAGGTAATTGTGTGGACTCTAAACTTAACTATATGCCGATTTTAAAAAAGTCATAATATACTGTGTCATAAAAGTTTCTCTATTCCAGTTACACCTAGGAAAATACAGCTTTCAAGCACGAAGTGGCCTTCAATGTGCAAACTACGATCAATTTAGGATCATTGTTAATCACGTAGTAAGTCAAGCAAACACCAGCAAAGCTTCCATTTCTTCGTTTTGCGCGCTAGAACTCTCGTGAGCTCCACACATTTTTTATGGGATCTTTACTATTTTCATTGCTTTCATCCATGGTTTAACCATGTGTGGCTTTCTTTAGCTCCTAAGCCCCTGCTTCACTGGTTTCGGCATCACTACTCTAGCTTTTCAAAAACTAACATGCTGGTATTAAGAAGATCCAAACGCCAAAAATTGGGAAGAGAACATGACTGCAGCCATGTAAATGGTAGCGAAAGACGTCTTACTTTATAAATATTATATTTCGATTCTCTTAGAAGTTTTTAGACCCATGATTAGCCCGAAAAGAGTTCCTTCGACATTCGCTGTGAATCTGCCTTACTTTGGTTATGGAAGATGGATGGACGCGATAGCACAGCATTTCATGCTCAAGACCCCTTTTATACCGAATAAATTAAGGGGAAGATCTCTCCACAGACGAGTGGCGAACATGGTAAAGTGGAAGCCAGGCAGTGGAAACTCAGTTTAAACGAGTTTTGTCAGCAATTTTGACAAGAAGTTTCAAGATAACAAAACCTTAAGAGATAAGATTCGCAGATTTGTGCCAATTATTTTTTTAGAATTTTTTATTTCCTGACGATTTATGATGTTTATGAACTCGCTGAAGCGTCTCATTCCCAAGGACAAGGGCTGTTCCCAGATACAAAAGGCTGACATTCAGATATATTCTGTGGCTGCACCAACGAGCAACAAAACACTTAACTCGAAAAGGCAGTCCCGTGCAGTCATTAGAATAAGCTCTCTGGAAAATCCCTTAACGTTCACGTTCTGGCACCAGCCAACTCCTCACTACTCGTAACGATGGGATTATCGGGGAAAAATATAGAACGCATTTGGCCAGAGGATCGGACATCGTCAACCATGAAAGCCGTTATCGACATTATCTAATGAAAATTACTAGGATGAGAAGATGACAATAACAGGTCTTTCTCGGAAAGCGATGGACTTTGCAGTTCTTTATTCTTTCTTTTCTATCTTTATTGCCGTGTTGATTAAAAGTTTCCCTTTATATTTTCCTTCCATTTTCTTTTTCAGATTTTCACCTTGCTTTTTATTTCACGGGCCTTTTAGTAACAGGACCGAATACTTTCATTTATGTGTAAAGTTGAAATGCCCATCAATCTAATTCAATGATATAACCAACAAAGGACTAAGAAGACTTTTTTAATTCAGAAATTCTGAATATTGCTTTTGAGAGAATTTTATTAAAGCTATCGAACTTTCGTCTACCATCTTATGTAGTGTTGCTATCGGATTATCGGATCCCATTAAATATTATATTCCATGATAAATATATGATTCAATTAAGGCATAAATTCAATGCTGGGATTAAAGCGCTTGGTGTAAAAATAACTGTGGTCTTATTTCACTCTACAGTAAGCAGTTCTACGTGTAAAAAACGAACGGCGTAAAGCAGGTGGCGAAATATCTACTACAACTAGAGATGGTCAAGAATTGTAGATAAATGTAGGAAAAATGGAAAAAAGTGCTCAGCGACAAAACAACTCAAAGAATCGACTAAGTGCTGAAAGGACAAATAGAAGATGAGAACAAGTAAAAGAATGAGAAAACTCACTGAATCGGCGGTGCCCAGCATAAAGTGTTCATCCTCGTCCGTACATTTGGTGTCATTCATACAACTCATCGTCGCTCAAGCAAGCGAAATCTACTTAGAGCTCGTGGAAGAAGTTGCTTTGCAGATCATGTGACTAATATTTTGTGGCTCGCACTATAAACATGTAGCGATGCTTTTAAAAATAGATCTGGAAAAATGAACGAAAGCATGAGAGTTGGGGACACGGCGACATGTTCGACGACGCATTGCTGGAACTAAAACTATGCATAAAAAATTGATTCAGGCCGAATGCGAAAACAAATTAATAGGAAACAAAATAACGAGGCAAGAATATTGAACTGAAATAAAATGAAAATTAAGAGCAGATTTCGAAAGAGATTTTTCAAAAGACGAAAAAAACTAGAATTCACCAAAGTAAAGAACAGTGACTAAAGAGACATGCTTTTTTGTGCCAGCTGTCTGAAAAGCGAATATCTAGTGTTTGAAAATTATCTAAGTCCTCCCCTTTGTGGGAGGAGGAAATGGTGGTGGACTAGGAAGAAATCCTTGAAGCGAAGTCGTTTCTGCTGAGAGACATTGGTAAGCAGATGGCAGGTTGCATGAAGAACAAGGGCGCGGCAATCTTTGAAGACTGTGACATGTTCTTCCCCTTAGTAGAAAAGAAGACAGAACGAAAAATTACGCCCCATTTCGCTTTTTTGAACGGGTCTTATCAACTTATTCAATTCATTAAAAAGGTACGTTGTCTAAGCAGCCGAAAAGCTGGATTAATATAGATGACGACATTTTCAAATTAAAATTGGTACATTGGTGTACAGTAGCATAACGAAGAATTTCGGTTGTATAACGTTTCTAAACGGCAGAGATGGGTAGCTAAGAAACATCACCACTTCTGGGCAACTTTGCATCGCCTTCTAGAAAAGGAACGAGAATGGAAATGGTAGCGTTAACCGCAACGCTTGGAATGTTTCACTGGGTTCGCGTCCGCTACAAATGTGGATTCAGCTTGAGGAGTCCTTTGAAGAGAAAGTGGCTTCTCAATGCAAAAATCACTATTGTACCAATGGCAAGAATACAGTGGACATGAATACATACAGAAACAGATTACTGTAGGCAGGCAAAACGCCGACCGTGTGCAACACTCACCTTACTTCGCTAGAACAGCCGGGTAGAACACAACCAAATTCTCCAGAAAATTCCCTGCTTTTTATAACTAGCCAGCAATGAGACAATGGAAGAAAATGTTTTCAAGCAAAGACCTTCAATGCAATTTTATTTCTATTTATGTGATCTGTCTCGTCTTTTTCACCTGTATATGCGCTTTCCTATAGTTGTTAGTAACGGTTCGATAACGAGAGCAACGGTGGACTTGAGTGCTTCGCAAACTCGTTTTAGAGACTATTTGTTGTTCTAGAAACATATAGCTGTTTGAATATCAGTTTTACTTCGACGCTTCTCACTTGACGTGCAACGATCGATATGAACTGGTCTCGAGGCATAAGTGGCTAAAATTGCGAGGTTGTTCGTAAGTTGATGCATGATTTTAAAATGTGTTATTTAAAGTGGTATATCTAAGTTTAGAATGCGCTCTACTAAACGAGTGGAAAACCGTTAGATTTTGCAGAAATTTGTCTGCATGGAAAAAATTGTTTAGCCCGCTTGCTTAAAGACCTGTAGTTTGACATCTGGATTTCAAACCTATAAAATATGTTGAAAATAGGTTTCACATTAGCATTAAATTACGCTCCGAAGCGCCGACATGCGCCAACGATTAAAAATCAGTGTTGCCTTTTGTACGCCAAATTGTTGAGGATAAGCTGGGCCAGACATGTACAATGCGTATGAAGGAGAACTGATGGACAAGAGCTGGTAGTGATTGGATTCCTCGGGATGTCAAAAGCGCAACAGGAAAACCACAGACCCGATGAGAGTTCTTCGGAAAAGCCTAGAAGAAAGAGATGGTGATGAATGAGTCTCTAGTGCGAGCAAACCCACCAGGCTAGCACGAGACAGGGAAAAGTGGAAGGTTTACTGGCTCCCGCCCGAGTCACTCGACGATCAACGGCACTACAGGTGATACAAGTGATTTGGTATTTCTTATGTGAAGCTTACCTGTTTCATGAAATTTGTAGATGCATCTCAAAATTAGATTGAAAGGAGTATGAGGAATCCTGCTTTGGTGTTTAAATTCTTCGATATAATGACAGACTGAAAACTTTTTATTTCTACTTCAGAGTTGTGTTCGGACGCCGGGCTAAGGCGTTCCCACTTGAATTCGAGGAGAGCGTTGAGCGTGGGTCGAACTAGCACCTTTGCTTTCTGATCGATGGCATCACTCTCCACTGCGCTATTTCCTTCTAATCGATGAAAAACTGCTACTAAAACATAAACAAGAAGGACAAACATTGAAAGCCTGCACTAATTCTCAAACAATCTAAATTTGGTGTTTTTCAACTTCAAATAAGCTCAGCTCAACTCGTAGCAAACTATACTAGCTGACATAGAAATGTGTACAATCAACCGACATTCCCTTCGAAGCATACTGGCAAGGTTGAAATCTCCTTGTTCTGAAGACGGCAAACTTATCTTCATTGCGTTCCCATCAAGGCTCGTATTTCGAGCAGCTCGATTGCAAAAGCAGCATCTCTTCCGTCTTCCGATGGGTCACGATGCCTCTGTTACCCACACGCCTATCGTTAAAAAAACAAATTTAAATTTGTTCAAAATTTCCGTTCAGGCAAATTTAAAACACGACATATCAGGAAACTTGTACACGCTCAAAACGACAAAGCAAATTCCCCTCTACGAGTTTTCAAACCTTCAAGCCTTTAACCGCTCAGTTCATTAAGAAATTATTCGCAGTTATCGAAAATCCAGCGTCGATTTTTGCTCGTTAAGCCAACTTACCTATTAGCATTAGCCATTAGCGTTCCAGATCTATACTATGACCCTTTCATTTGTAAATTCGACAAAACGGCTTTTCTAGAAAGATCTAAAATGGCGCAATATTACTGGCAGGTTGTGCGAAATCATCGAGTTCTTTTTCTGAAAAGTCTGGAATTCTAAGCTCAGCGAATTCGTCAATAACTTCTTAGTAATTCTCGAATATTTCGACTCCAAGAAACCAATCGATATGATCAAAAAAATGTGAACAAGGTGAGTCAAGATTGGGAGATTATGGATAATCGGACAGATTGCTACAGCCCAATTCATTTAGCTTGTGGGAAACGATGTCTGAACCTTCTAAATATGCATGTTTGTGCTATACATGACAGAAGGCATGCTGCTAATCATCAGCCATGCTTTCCGTTAGGTTTCGTCTACAGGGAGTACAATAGAGCGCATGTAGCGTGATGGATAGAAGTGCTCTGCAGTACAAACACAACAAACAACAAACATTGCTTTGATCTCGGACTCCATGAAAACTAAGCTCTTCATAGATCTAGAAATGTTTCTCAGCATAAAAGCACTAATTCTGATACTTAGATAGGTCCTCTCATTTTATTGCATGGAGCAAATATTCAAATCACCTCTACGGTCCCTAACAGAGTACAATTCATGCTGGATCCCTAAGGATATTGGCCAACGCCAAACGCTTTATTTACCAATGATTTAGGGAATGTGATGTAGAATCTAATTAAAATTTGAAGCAACTGCATAATTTACCGGACGTTTTATGTTTGAGACTGGCATGTTAAATGTGAGATACTCATGTGGAATTTGAAAGCAACTCATCGCAATTCCTCCAATAGCACCTCTTCTCGATTCGATGTTCACTGCTCTTCTATCGATAGATCGATGACTTCTTACCACCGTTCCATCGAGACTGGATGGCCAAATGATTTAAATTGCTAGATGAACTGTTAGAACACATGGGTCGTCTTAGACTACTTTTCAGAACGTTGGAGCTTTGTTAATATCGCGGACAAAAGAGTGAGATCATGTATATGCATTACTTCTCTGTTTACTAATAATTTATGAAGAACAGTGGGACGACAGTGGTCATGTGTCGGACTGCTTCCTCAAGGGGCACGGAAAAAGAGGAAAGAGAAAGTTATGCAATTTGGTGAGGCAAACAACTATTTTCACCAGCTATGAGATCATTCTGGTGGTCAACAAAAGAGAAGTACCAGCCATGAAAGCATTCCTCATTTCGACGTTTTCTTCTGTTTATGCGGCCATTTCGATGGTGCAAGCATTGCGCAGAATAGAACTACTAATTCAGTAACCATTACCAAAAAGTTTTAAATATAAGTGGGATTTTGTAGTATGGAATACTCAACCGAACTTATCAATGGTCTTTTGCGGACCACAAATTTATCAAACGAGCTAGGTCGAGGGGAGGATTTCCTGCCTCCAAGACTGCGGCCTGACTTTACTTCGTCCCGTACGCATGACTTATTTTTCACGAATATGTGAGTGTGTGCACTTCGGTGTATATGGATTACACCTCAAACGCCCAATTGGCCAGAAGTCTGCAATCAGGTCGGGAAAGGACAGGGCATTTTGAAAACAGCTTCAACAAACAAGCTCCGTTTTCACCATAAGAATCGCCGACATAGTCCTAATAAAGAAAATCAATTCCGTTGTAGTCGTAATTCATTTCCTATTCGTTTTTTTTCGTTTTCATCTTATTTGTATCACTAATACGATTTCGTTTGCGTAGGAGGAGGAATACATAGCGAACCAGTACATGTAAAGTATTCACGCCTTAAAAGTTTTTCGAAAGTTTCCAGTATTATAGCCACTGACTTCTTCACATCATGTAGGAAATCTTAATGCATAAACAATCCATAACTAGCAAAATTTCCTCTCGCTTTCACCGCTTCGGGGCATCGTATGTTGACACGTGTTCTTTCAATGGGCACATATAAAAAAGCTTATTTTTGCAAACTAGGACGTTTTAAGGCCAGAAATAAATAATAGGCGAATTCTAAACATCGTGATGTTTTCTTTCTGGAGAAGCAATAGCTCGTCGCAAACTCAGAGATATGCAGAGAGTAACGGACGATTTCGCATCTCGTGAGTAGTGAGCATATAATCTTGAAAGATATTTCCATCTCAAAGTGTGCAACGTTGTAGATGGATATCTACTACTTTGCTCTGCTAGACAGTAACCGCCATCAAACACTTGAGAGGTATTACAATTCCCCAAGACCGCCTTTCTGTTAACCTCGGCACTGATTGATAATTCGATGCTTTTTTCTTCAATAAGTAGACACGAGGTTGTTCATATAGGACTTATTAGGATACAAGAGCTGACGTTTCGGCGGTTTCGCCTTCTTCAGAGCCGTTTATTTGTTATAAGTATTTAAGTTAGTTGGTGGATAACATGGGCACGAGTTATCACCCATATATTACTATGTGCGTCTGCTATCCACCAACTAACTTAGATGCTCACAACAAATGAACGGCTCTGAAGAAGGCGAAACCACCGAAACGTCAGCTGTTGTATCCTAATAAATTCTATAATAACAACCTCTGTCTGCTTATTGAAGAAAAGCATTAAATCTGCTAGGTTGACAAGCTATACATGTTAATTGCTCCTTCGTGTTGCTCAAGAAGCTCGCGGATAGCTTATATTGCGCAGTCGTTCGACACGTTAGTGTAAAGGGCGGTAACGTCGAACGACTCCATAACGTATGCGCTTTTGGGACGTGCGTTACGCAGACGATCTAGGAACATTTGGGTATTTGTGAGATGGGCGGGTACGTGCTTAAGTAACTGGTCGAGGATAAGATTTATAAACCAAGCAATTCTATCCGTAGGTCCGTCTACATAACTGATTATGGGTCTAACTATAAAGGTGGAGGGCTCGGTAGACCCCAGATCATTAGCGGATTTTAACTTATAGGTTTTGATAAGTAAGTATAAGCCGGGACATATCGGCACTTCTATCTTAAGATGCGAAATGTCACCTGGTTTTAAACCTGCTGCGCTTGCCATTTTGACCCATTCGTTCCCTAGTTTTCGATTTTGACTTCTGAATTCCTTTTCAGTAGATGCTCGATAAGCATTACAAATTAACAATTCACCCATTTCAGGGCGAGAATAACAGCGTGGAATGATGGGCGAGCTAGTGGTACGCGTGGTAAGCAAGTACAGCATTAAATCACTCAAATACACACACATACGCACGCACCAACGCACACACCCACACACGCACACACACATACACATACACACATACACGATCAACTTACTCCCATCATTCTACGTGACAACGCTCTAACATGGTCGTCCTAGGATGGCAAGGAGATCCGGTTAGCCAAGTATTTAACAACATTCGTGACAAGAACGAAAAAGCTTCAGGCAACAACCGAAGTCACACGCGAGAAACTTTGGAAGGCTTTCGACGATGGTGGCTGCAAAGAAGCGAATCGAATGCAAGAAGTGCTGGGATCCGTGGAGGATATATGAAGGCGGATCACGTGTTTAGAAAACGATCGCACTCAGTCACTCATGCGCTGCGATCCCGCTTGATTTCGTTCGTCGCGAATTTCAGGATGCGACACAAATGAAACAAAGGCCTTGATGCTCGTTTGTGGTGAAGAAATCCTCGCCAACTCGATGAAACTAAATGACAGCCGTCTCAGCCGCGTTATATTTACAGTTGAAAATGGAGAGTGCTTAAAGTGCTCAACGATATCTAGTCGATTCGATGCAGCTCAGTCCAAGAGGGAGCGTTCATCGCATTTCGAAAAGCAAAATCTTCATCTTAGCTTATGAAGAATGAATTCAAGCTTGGCGATAGTATTGCTTCAGTTTCTCATTAAAAAAGTGATCAGTATCAGAAAAAATGGAGGACTTTCTACGCTTGTCGATTAAGTCGGTGAACTTGTTCGATTTGCAGATGGAAATCGCTGCTGCCTGGAGAGGAAGTCAGCCACCTCGAACGTATCAATTTGCCTAATGAATAATATGGATTCCCAAGGGAGAAACACAAAATGGCTTTCGTAAAATCATTTCCTCCGAAGAGTATTGAAGAGCAATGGTTCTAGTGACAAATATTCCATTGTTATCAGTGTAAACCAACTTTCATTTAGCCTCGGCATTAGTGACCAAAGGACCGTATTTCATTGGTAAGCCGGCAGGAGGTTGTTACCAAATATACTTTGCTAAGTAGATGCCTATCTAGCACCGAATGGTGCAAGAATGTTTATCAGTTGAAAAACAAATTATAATGAACGAATCACACTAACGACAAACGCTCTGTATAAAACAGCCGTGCCGGTTGAGGTTGCCACATTTCAGCGGTGATTCACAGAAGAAGAACCAACTCAATACGACGATGACAAAGACATCATATCGAGAAGGCGAAGAACCGTGGACCATCGACACGGATCACCGGCTCTATGGAAGACGAAGATGTGGAAACGTTGGCCGAATAAGTATTTGGCAACAACGTCGTGCGAGCTTATCAATGAAATACGATATTGATCATTCATACCGAAGTTAAATGAATGTCGGTTTACAATGACATAAAAATGTGCTTGAGAATATCTAAAGCGAGGAATAGTGGTTCGTCTCGGTATGACAACTAGCTCTTCGAAACTTAATATGAATGATCTAAGTGTTTCATTTAACTAATCTAAAAAGATATTTGACGAAAAAAACTCGTTAAATCGCTATTATTTTCGGAAAGAAGATATTTCTACCACCTTCGAAATCTTTGAGACATTTTTACCACTCTCGACCTTGAAATTATGAAAACGGCAGTTTCAGGTCATTTAAAAATGCTTTTTAACTAAACAGAAGCACAATGCAGTAAGCCCTAATAGCTTACAACTAGGCCACATTTCATTTATATTAGGAATTTCTAGTTGATCAGACGCGAAAACTGTTAGATATGTGATTAAACGTAAACCGAAAGTGACCAGATAATTGGAGTGAATGACAGGTGATTTAAGAGAGAATTTGAACTCCGCCTTTATTTGCCTAGACTGAGTTCTAGTTTTCTTATGCATACAAACATAATCAGGGAGCGGGTACGGCAGTTACAATGACGTCGACCATAAAAAACAAGGGTGCTTGGTGGTTCCACACCGGTTCGGGCTCACCAAGTCTCTCATACCTCCGGGATCAGGATATTGGCACCACCTCTGCAATCTAAAATTTTCTACAATCCAGGTGGAGACACTATAGCTCGGCCATACCAGGAATTCAAGAGGAATCGACTCGACCAGCCTTCAACACAATTCGTGATAAAAGGAAAATCTTCAAACAGCAGGCGATACCACGAGCAAAATGATAAGATCTTCGTGGTTGTCGGATGCGAGGAAACGAATCCAAAGGGTTGCGTAAAAATTAAAAAAGATATGGATATAATCACGTTCACATAGTTGCTTCTACGCGTGCATTCGTATATGCAAACTGTACCCTCTTATGTCGATTTAAAAGCCTTCCATTAAGAGAATAATGAGTAAACAACTTTGCTGCCGCTCGGACCCGCCACCAACAAATCCCATGCGAGCTTCAAGAGAACAAGAGAAGGCAACCGTGGTCATACCCAAGCCCGTAGTAGAAGCAGATGAGTTAAAGCTTCACGCAGGATTACTTTTTCCCGAAGCAAAGAAACAATGAAATGAGCTGATGTAGAAGCGAGATGTCTTTGTATCCTTCGAACAAGCGGAACGTGGTGAATACTAGTGGGACGCATTAACCGACGTGCCTTATTATTTTGTGGATGAAGAACGTAAATTACTAGAGGCATTCAATATTTCAGGTTGATGCATTGTGATGTTGATGGGAGCACTAAGGGAAACCGAAAGGGTCATATTGATTTGTTACCCATTCGATCCCTAAAAAACTTTTATGGCATCAGCTCTTTTGAAAACGTAATTTTAACATTCCCATTACTTATGAGTGTTATTTATACATTTGATTCTACCAGACGATACTGAAAAACATGAAATAGATCCATAAAACGTATGTAAAAGCATTTACGTCTCCAGTAATCCTTGAGGATAGCTAAGACCTGTGTGCTTGTCGATGATTGAAATTTCTCTACGAAGTTCAGAAGATTCTATTAAGCTGTTACAAACCCGGCTGCTTCCGAGTAAAAATCGTAGAAAAGCTCCACCATGGCTTTAAAGCTACTCGGTAATTTACGTAACAGATGTGGTAGTAAAACGTATTATCTCACTAGGCTTTGACGTTATAGGGATAAATTCAAACGCAAAAAATCTATAAAAATACCAGGAATACTGCCACCTGCGACAGCTTTGCAAAACGAATGGAACCGGCACTATAGTCTTGTTCCTACGCGTGAAGAAATATGTGCAGACTGTCATTGGATATTGAAGGACTGTGATAACCTGATCGTATAACTTCGTGAAGCTCGCGATTTTTATAGTTTCTTCTTGGTTTATTTTCTTTTTCTTCGTTGGGTAAATAAAACTGCACTCGTAACATTAATAATTGTTTCAGGAACAGGACTGGACCTTAAACAGAGAAAACCTAACTCGTTCATGCAAAAATCTCATGTTAACAGAATGACCAGGCGACAAATGAAAGAAGAACTGTGACGACGAATTTTAAATGCCGATTGTTTTACGAGAAGAAAAAAGTATATAGTCACACAAAATTTCGTTTGGTTTTGCTTCTAAAAGAAAATTCAATTAAGAGGAAAGTATAACTCGTTTATACAAGGATGCATCTGCCGAAGTGAGTTCGTCAACGTTCGCTTGTGAGAACAAAACGACGAGAAACTTTTTCCATAGAAAAACGTCAGACAAATAGATGTGTCTAGCCTAAATTTGCACAGAGTAAGGCAAGGATTTTACTGATGTTACAGGCTGCTACACAACGCCACATCTGGGGTGGCTGGTGGTGGAGGTGGAGGCTGGTGAGTTGGCGTTGGCGAACCCGTAACTGGTTTCCGTTACTCGTTATTCATTGCATTTTCGGGTTTCGCTAGGTTATGCAGTAACATTAATTTTTCATTCTAATCACACCTCATCCGAAATTTATGCACACTAACCTTTTCACATTTTGTGAGCGGCGCTATTAAGCCTTTTGCGACAAAGCTGGTGTTCCGACGAAACCGTCAGTGATTTCTCACCAACTAAAAAATTTCTGAGCCATGGGAGTTAAAAGGGTTCTAGAAGAAACTTTATTCTCTAGCAGATACAGTCGTACACGAGCTAATTTTATTTCAGCCCGCGGGAAATGGAAGGCTTAGCGGTTCACGGGTTCGGGAACCGATTCCACGTGTGTGTGGCAGGGTGCCTCCCACCACTGCACCACAAGGGCCCCTGAAAAAAGATAATTTTCAAAATTTTCCCAATTTTCTGCTTGAAAGAATGGCTCACAAAGGCTATAAAACCACTACATTGAAAAATGTGACAAACATTGAAAAATCAGAAACCGGTTAGATAGAAGAAATAAACTTCCGGGTTTTTAATGTAGGTGCCAACAGTCCCATTACTATTTAATACGAATAAAATCTTCCTCTTCCCTCATATTCGTTTAATGATTTTGCAGTCACTTTTACAAAGCAGGAATTTATTGGTATGTAAATTTAAGGTACTGTGCAGCCTAAGCGGATGTTTCAAACACTTCTAGAAGTCAAAGAGTTGGCAAAAAATTGCGCTCAATCACATGCTTCTCGCTAAATCGTCATTAGTGCTAAGGAATAAGGAAGGTCGTAAACTCTAAAACTGGCGGCACAGTGTACCACGTTCTAATTTGGATTAAAAAGAATGTTTTTAAAAAGTAATACAAGTTGTTTATTTCAATGTAGCTGTATTTATAAATATGCGACTTATACTTGTGTCCACCAACTTTTCTCATCGGCTCAAACGTCAACTTCGTTGATCGGACGTGTCATTCCATATAAAGAGATAATTTGGTAAAGTCGATGAAGCATCACAAGGCCAAGACCAGCGACTTTTCATCCGTAGTTCCCGGGGGATATTTACGCTCTTGGTTAGAATATGCTGTTGAATTTCGAAGCTCTTCTTTTCTGTTGCCCATTTGCTAGTAGCAGCTCCAAAACAACTTCGATGCTTTTAAATTGCATAAAGTCTGGAATTCTACAACAAATAGAGATGGAGGATCCGATTCTAATAAATAAACAGCTTTTTCAATAAGTACACGATCGACATCTAAGACCGTCTCGTTGTGTCGATAGGAAAAGTTGAAAGATAACCTGAAAAGTCCTGCTCACTTATTAAATCGTGAAGATGAGTGTTGGCCCAATTTGAACAAATATGACATCTCTTCAAGGAATCTAATGAAGAAGCCCTTAGCGCTCCTCGATTATTCCAGCTGATTGCATATTTAGTCACTTCATTGGTTCGTCTTCAGAAGAATCGTACGAGTCACGCTCTCTTTGGAAGAAAGATTTTAATTTACTGTATTCGTGGTGAGTAGACACGAAATTGTTATTACTCATTCGTATTACCTGATGTTTCGGCGGTTTCGCCTTCTTCAGAGATAGATGGGGATAAAATGACACGAAATCTACTCACCCAAACGTCTTTGTTGTCTGAGTGGGTGTGACTTAATACATAAAACAGGTCATCTGAGTACCTACCAGTAATCAACCGTCAACGTCTGGCGAGTATAAACCGATATTGTGCCCAGTTATGCTGAAGCTGCAGTCGAAGTCACAATGTTTAACTTTTACTTACTGTCCATTATTTTTCCATGGTGGGATGCAATATGAAGTACAACCACAAGGATGGCGAAAGTTGGGACCTCGTGCAAAATTTCTTCTATTGAAATAGGAAAACGTGATTAGTGTGAATCTGATCTAAGCGACTCGCACAAGTAACGTTGTCGTAGTTGTTTTGTATGGGATCGGATGCACTTTTGCTATTTCAGCAGAAAAAATTCTAGTATTTACTTATGAATCCCTCTTTTCTGTATTGCCTCAGATAATTTCCAAGACCCACCTTCTATTTTCTCCGGCATTGCTCAAATAATTCATTGTATTGTTGATGTCAGCCCACGAAGTCATTACTGTACTATTTATTAACAAAAGCTGATTTTTTGGCGAATTTCATATCTTCGGAGACTGAAACGAACAAGTTGACCGCAATCTGCCCAGCCAAACATCTCCATAACCACAATTCAAGAAACACCAAGCCAAAATTTCAATCGTGTTGGGAACAACATAGCTTCTTTGCACACTCAACGCTTTTTAATGTCTTTATATAAGCCCCGCAGCGAGGAATCCCTTGTTGAACCACATGTGATTTCAAACAGCATCTCAGACTGGAATTTTAATATAAGACAGGCACATTATACCTCCACGTAAACTCTGTGCGGTTAGTCTCCACGTGGAATACTCAGTTGAATACTCATGAAAAGTGGTGGTTGTGCGAAAAACTGTCTTGTTTTCCACGCGATCGAAATCTTGCTTTGAGGCTTTTTATGTTTAGGTTATGGAGATGGTGCCTGCTTGAGTAGATTGCAGTCAAATTTACCTTCCAGACTCTGAAGAAGGCAAAATTTGCTGAAACGTTCTTTTTTTAGATAAAGAGTATAGCAAGATCGTCTGTTCGCATCAAAAATGCAGTGAATTATTCAAGATATGCTGCGGATTCCTCATTAAGATATAAATGTTTGTTCCCATAGCGAACAGCTTCTCCTAAACACTCAGCGTTTTGCTCTTTGGAAGCCTTCCAGTTAATTGGTGGAGAGTAGTGGCACAGAATATTATATTGGCGAAGAATGTGCCTGGCTAACCTGTGCTGGTCAGGAAATCAGTCTTAGGTACGGCGCTAAGTTATTCAGAATCATAAGGCACACCTTGCAAGCGACTTTTGGAATTCCTAAACTTGCTCGAACGCCTCTAGAATTTTACACACCGATGACTTAGATGCTTGTACGATCCACTTCAAAATATTCTCCGTTATATCCTTGTGTTCTATGCGTGTGTAGTGGAATGTTCTACTTGATTTTAAGTTTCCCAACCACGTGCTCTTTTAGACGGACGCACTGTGGTCTATTGCTTTACGATTTTCTTATTTCATTTTGAAGGATTTTATTTCCTAATGTCCTAAAATAGCGATAGCAGGGTGTTCTCCATCCTACCACCAAAGGCGAAGGTTTCTCTTCTTCGTTGTCTTGCAAGAAGTATTTTGCCTTAGAACTAGGCTTATTTTTGGACGAAGTCGACACCAGTCTAGGTTAATGCTTAGTGAGCTTGCAGATGGGAACGGCAAAGTTCCAAAGCATTCCAAAGCAAAGAAAGCTTTGCGAAGAGAATTCGAAGACCTTTTGAGTAAATCACATAACACAGCTTCAATAGCGCAAAAAAATATCGCTAAAGAACATCAAACAGATCACATTAGGATAGGTAATGTGCAAGAAAATTCAAGGCTAACCGTAGACATAACTCTCCCTGGCGGTGCGTGCTCGTTATTAGAATTGGGGCCAAGTTTCTCACCATCTGAACCCATTTCTAAGATAACCTTGCGTGGGGTCGCATGTGGTTTACATGAACTTCAAGATAGACTCCGCAAAAAAGCTAGAGATGAAGCGCTAAATAGGTGCGAACAACATCAAGTGGGACCCCTACCAATAGCACCATTTCCCCCGACGTTCTTTAGACTACAAGAGCCCAATAATAA